AAATTGCTTTGAATATGGCATAGTATGGGTTCTTTATTTATTTACTTAACCAGACAGCCAAACTGTTTTGTTTTGTGCTTTTTTTTTTGTTTTGTTGTGTGGGTTTTTTTTGTTTTGTTTTTGTTCTTTTGAGTGAGAGTCATCTAATTCCAGGTTGTCCTTAAACTCATAACAGTCTTCTAAGTGCTGGGATTAAAGGAATAAGCCACCTCACATGGGTATTACGGTATCATTGCAGTGGCAACTGTGGTCCCTGTTCTATATACATCTGTTTTGAAGACAATGGCAATCTGTAGGTCTGTATCCAGTTGTTGTATAGGACACACCATATGGTCCCATTCAGATCCTGTTCCATTGCTAGGCTCACTAGTAATTTAAGCTCTTCAAGCCTCAGTTTCCTTGTCTAAAGGATGATAGAATGCTAACAGTTGCAAGCACTTCAGGACTGTGGCGAGGGTCCTACTGTGAGAAGTGTTAGTGGCTGGAGGAATCAGTTGTGCCTGTTGCCGTCAGTCATTATTTACATTGTGTCCTGAGTTTGCTACTGACGTTGGCCCTTGACGTTGTTTTAATTTTTCTGTGGACTTGAGTCTGTTTTTCCTAAAATATTTATTAGTATTCATTAGTATTCATAAAGTGATTCTTTAAATATCTTCTTAGGCTAATTCTGGCCAGGTGAAATGGAAAGTTTATCTATGGGAATTCTATATTTAAGCAGTCTTCAGACATTGGAGTCTGTTTTGATTGTTTCCTTCCCTTGGTAACCAAATCCCCTTTCTTCCTAGAACACAGAAGGCTCCTTTGTGAAGCTTCTCCTCTACTAGCCCCACCCCCATTTAATAACCCTCTTCATATATACATATATATGTGTGTGTGTGCATACATACATACATATGTACATACATACATACATACATACATACATACATACACACATGCATATATCCCTCACTCCCTCATGAATTATCTGAGATGTTTTTCCCTTGAGCTTGCAAGAAACACCTGGTAGGCAATCCCTGAACATTTGTTGCATTCATGAATTACATAGTGTCTTTGACATCTTCTGTGATGTCCTTCATCCCTTGTTTATTCTTTACTGTTGCTGTAAATCAAATTTGTGAGCAGTGGTTTAAGTGTGTGGAATAATGTCCTCTTTAGTAGATGTCAGAAGATTAAGAATAGACAATGACCTCTCCTTACTCAGAAACATGGATCGTGTCTACATTTGTCCAGTCAGTGTGTTAAGTGAGTGATGGCATTAAGGGCTGGAGTATAACTCCATAATAGAATCCATGCTTAGCATGAGCAGGGCAGGCAGCCAGGCAGCCAGGCAGCCAGGCAGGCCTGTAATCTACCAACTTCTCTTCTGTAGAGCTACAGACTTTAGAAACAGACTTGTACCAAAGTTTCTTAAAACTTATTTGTCTTCTTCATAAGCTGGGTTAAAAGCCTATAGATTTAGTAATATTTAGTAATATTTAGTAAATATTCTTTCAGAATTACTCTTCCTCATAGGGCTGGGAAGAAATGAGACCTCACACAGTAGCATGTATCTTATTTGTTATTCTGTGTTAAAAGCCAAAACTTGACAAGGTCAGTAGGACCATGCGAATCTTGATTTATTTTTATGGCATCATCAAAACTTTAGCAATCTGTAGCCCTTCCAGAGGGAGTTGTCAGTAGGAAAATAAATACCCATAATGGGAGATGGATGCTGAGTCAACTGTTCTTATTTCACATGTGCTCTGTTTGGGTATTTCCCCAGAGCAACACTACTTCTGTATCATTATACTATTCTAAACATTTAAAATAAGTTATTCAGGAGCTCTTTTGGTCACATGTGTGGCCATTATTTCAGGTGAAATAAGATGTTCTGAATAGAAAGGATGTAGGCCTGACTTTAGTTGTGAGGAAAGTTGATGGTGTCTACACAGGAGCCAGGCTGAACCACGGGGTGGCCAATGTTGCAGAACACAAATTAGATAAAATCATTTTATTGATAATCAGTTTCTATTAAATTTACAGGTTCATATTTACCCTTCACATAGCTCCATGACATGTGGAGTATTTAAAAATAAACCTGATAGAACCACGGCCAAAGCCTATGAAGCTCTAGCCCAGGGTGTGGAGACATTGTAGGAAGCCTGAGTGAGGGGGGAGGTGCTTATTATGGTGACTTAGCCCTCGTAGGCTTGTGTATTTGAATACTTCATCCCCAGTTGGAACTGTTTGGGAAGGTTTAGGAGGTATGACCTTGTTGGAGGAGGTGTGTCACTAGGGGTAGGCTTTGAGGTTTCAAAAAGGCCATTCCCATTTAGTCGGGCTTGTGAGTCAGCTGTAAGCTCTAAGCTATTGCCCCAGTGTCTCTTCACAACGATAGAAAAGTAAATGCTTATGATGCAAAAGTGAGACAAAAGTCAGTGTTGTTAATGTGTCCATTCTACCCCCAAGCAACCCATGGGCTCATGCAGTCTGGAGGAGCGCTCAGCAGGGTGTGCTGTGGAAATTGGTCCTCTGATGTAAAAAATCACATGAAAATGTGAAGAGCCTTGGAAAAGTCAGAACAACTTAAAAAAAGAACCAGTTTGGGAAACTGAAACTACTGAATTCCAGATTTCATTAAAACCTGTGATAGTCTACAGAATTAGCATCTGTAGATGAGGACCAACTAGCCAGTTGATTTTTGGATAAGGGATTTCACTGAAGAAAGAACTGTGTTTTTCAAGTACTAGATCCAGTGGGTGCTTCTCCATCACTGAAACAGGGTGAAAGAGTACCAGCCCCACCTCTGTACCTTAACAAATTAACTCAAAGGTAAAGATGTAAAATCTTTAAAATTCTTTCTGAACATTTGGTAGAAAAATTCTTTGCACCATTGAAACAGGCAAAATCCAGGCTCCAAGGTAAATGCCAGTGATCTCAGTGTTGAGCAGGCAGTGCCAAGAAGATTATAGCAGGTTCAAGACCTGGTCTTTGTGGTGAGTTCAGGTCAGCTTGAACTGCAGAGTGAGATCCTGTCTCAAGCAAAATCAAGTAAATATCCTCCATCTATAATATAAATACTATGATTATCTTAAAAATAACTTGAACTTAATCAAAATGTAATGTTCATTTGAAATGCACTGTCCAGAGAATGGAACGATAAATCACAGATTAGGGAAAAGTATCTGCAAATGACTTGTATTCATAATATATTGAGATCTTTGACACATCTTTAATTTAGATAGTAGACAAGCCAATGAAATACACAAATATTTGAAAATTCATAGATGGCAAATATGAATGTAAAGAGAAGATCACCATCATTAAAACCATGGTAAAGGAACCAGAGAGATGACACGGTAGTTGAGAGTATGTACTGTTGTTGGAGAGGACCTAGACTTGGTTCCTGGCACCCATGTCGAGTGGCTCACAACTACCTGTAAACTCCAGCTCCAGGGCATCTGATGTCATTTGACCTATGTGGGCACCTGTACTCATGTGCCCATACCATCCCCTCCAGGACACACACACATATTATATACAGAATTCGAAATCTAAAGGCAAACAAAGCAAGAATATAATGAAACAGTACTGCACACTCACATGGATGTGAACACTTAGAAATTCTGGCAGCCAAGCTTGGGAAGGACGTGGAAAGATCAGGACTGGTGGGCATGTAAAATGTGCAGCCACTTTTGGAAAACAGCTTGGCAGCTTTACAGAGTTAAACATCCCCCCTATCTCTGACCGAGCAACTTCCTTCTAAGTTACTAGTTATTTCCTAAGCAGAAGGGAAGACATTTTCCATATAAAGGTCTGTTTGCAAATGTTCATGTGGGTTTATCAGTAACATCCCCAAACTAGAAAAACAAATGATCATACACTTGTATGCTGAATTATTGCTCACCAACAAGAAGGGAATGAAGTTTTGATAGCTGTAATGTGGTTGAAACAACAGAATAGTTATGAGGTAAGGCATATAAAAGAAAATTAATAAAATTAAATTTGTATAAAATCCTAGAATAGGCAAACTAGTCAGTAGTGACAGGAGTACCAGGTTGTGTAGAGGTGGGGCTCAGAAGAGAAGTCCCAAAGGGATGCAGAACTTTGGACTCATAAGTAAGTCTGTGGTCTCAGTTGTAGCAGTGATAGTGTGTGTGTGTGTGTGTGTGTGTGTGTGTGTGTGTGTGTGTGTGTGTCTCCACCCAGACTTATCAAATTGTACATTTTAAATACATGTAGTTTATTAGATGCTACCCCAGTAAAGCCAAGGAAATGATTATTGTACAAAGCCTCAGAAGCCTTGTTAGAATAGGCTGCAACTCCTAGGGTTGTTGAGAAGACCACAGACCTCAAAAGATGAGAGACCAGGCTAAGCATTGTGCAGATGCAATGGTATCTTCTACCAGACAGTAAGCAAAGGACTGTGTCTGCCACGTTCCCCCAACTTACACTTGCTGTGGGTGTTTGTATGATCCCCAGCTTATTATGTGAACAGCACAAACACGTTTTCACCAAATTTAAATTAATGCCAGATATGGTGGTACATACCTGTAGTCCTAGCACTGAGGAGACTGGAGTTGGATGACCTTGTCTCAAAGCATGCCCCCTCCATTAAAGTACCACTCAGGTAGCAGGTAGCATCTCTCAAAGGTGAGGTATGGATACGGATTTTTAAAAGAACCAAGGAATTTGGCATACACTGTTCTGGAATAATTATGCTTAGTGTTATATAGGAAATACACAATATTTCATTCTCATAAATTTATTTTCTTTAATTTGTATAAAGTCTTCCTTGAAAATGCTTCCTTTGAGAGTTATAATGTGGCTGTCACCCTTACTTCTTTGACTAATTTTAGAATGCAGTTAAGTCCTTGGGAAAATCACTTATGTCATCATTGAAGAATTCTACCAAAATAGCTTCTAACTTAAGTTCCCATCACAAGCTAAGCCCACAGCAGGTTCTGCTAAACTCAAAGATGGAATAACTTGTATTTTTTTTTTCTCTTTGCACGCAGGCGCTCTGGTCGTGGCGACGGGGTCACATGGTGGACTCTTGGCAGTCAGCAGTCTGCGGAGCTTTTGCAGGTGCAGGGGATTATACTATCCTGGGAAAGGCAAAGTGGGGGTGTGTGAAAGCGTTAGCTGTGCAGATGAACATTCTTGAGGAATTCCACACTGTTTAGATGGACAGAGAGAGTCTGGCTATTTGTGAAAAGAAATTATCTTGGGGAGGGGGACCTGCTAAAGAGGTGTCTGCTTGAATGACAACCAATTTGTTTTTTGACAAATTTCCCTTTTCTTTTTATCTATATTAAAGGCTCACTCGGGCTCTTGGATTATTTTAAAGATGATTTATAAACCCCGCTGTATGGGGGGGGGGGGGGGTGGGCGGCTGTGCAGCTGTCTGCTGGGAGCGATGCTGCGGGCCATCCGAGATTCACAGTCCGTGTGACATGTTTGACAATGCAGGAGATTAATTAGCATCAGGAGAGCAGGGGCCACTCCACAGCTAACTGCAGGCGGAACTGCACTGGGTGGGAAATGTGGCCTTGTGAACATCTGGGCATCTTAGAGACAGCAAAGCAAGAGCAGCCTGTCAGTGTACCGTATCATACCATCCCTCCGTCACTAACTGCTGCTTCCAGGAATGTAATAAACGCTACCTTCAAAAGCCAAAGGGAAAGGGCTGATTTGTCGTTATAAATACAGGTCAATTAGAATTATAGTTGCAATAAAAGTAGAACTTGGCCAGAGAATTACAGTGTTTACATGCAGTGCTGGCAAATGGATGGTCAGGTAGGTTGGAGGTCTGCAGCTTTGGGGAAATTGGTTCTTTTCCAAATATCTGTAAGAGTTGTTGGATTTTATTTGTTTTCATGAAGTGGTTGGGAAAACATTTTATAGGCTCATTTGTCAACAGTTTAAACCCATATAAGTTGTGGAAGTAGCCACCAGAAATTAGAAGCCCATACAGATCAGGGAGGGTAATGGCTTCCATACCTGCATCATTGGAGGTGGGGTTAAAGGAGGGGGGTCTTGATTCATTTTCCAGAGGTCAGGATTAAGTGTGCATTTTTTGTTGACTGTCTTCTTGGTTGGGGCAGAGGTGTTGGGGGTGGAACACTGAGTAAACATTATGGAAATGTAGTCGCCCTGAACAAGAAAAGCCACTTCCTGGAGTTGAATGCTCTAAAAGTTACCTGCCTTCAAGTAAGAAATAAGCATGTTCTGGTATATCCCTAGTGGTGGTTTGAATAGGAATGCCCCCACCCCCAGCCTCATGTGTTTGAATACTCGGCCCTTAGAGTGACACTATAAGAGTGGCACTATTAAGTGTGACCTTGTTGGAGGGAGTGTGTCACTGTGTAGGAGTAGGCTTTGAGGTCTCATATGCTCAAGCTATGCCCAGTGTGGCACACAGTCTCCTTCTGCTACCTGCAGATGGAAATATAGAACTCTCAGCTCCTTCTCCTGCACCATGATGATAATGAACTAAACCTCTGAACTATAAGCCAGCCCCAATTAAATGTTTTCCTTTATAAGAGTTGCCATGGTCATGGTGTCTCTTCACAGCAGTAGAAACCCTAAGACATCCCTCAAATCATGCTAGAGCTTTACATGCAAACATATGGATACTGCGTATTTGGAAATTTGTTCTCTATACAGTCCTCTTTGCTGAGGAATGTTCTGCATGGCACTGACATTTGTCAAAGGAGGGAAAGGAGGACCAGTTCTGTCACACATGCGGCATGTGATCGGAACCCACTGTCCAGGCCTTTCAGATGGCAGTGATTCACAGAGGATGCTGTGGTGCTGAGCCAGGAGATGTGCCCAGGGCCTAGGCTGGACTTTCTGTCTGGCAAGTGGCTGAATCTCTGGCTTAAACCCCGTTCCTGGAGGAGACCTTGAACTTTTTGAGCACCCGTTTCCTGACCTGTAGCTTAAAAATAATCACTCCTCCCTCAATGGATCCCATGATATGTGCATTGGTCCTTGGTGATCTGTAAAACTGACTGCTATAGGGAGTCATTACTCTTCCAGAAGAAAAAGCAACACCCCAAAAGGAAAGTTGTCCCTATAATAATACCTCATCTCTTGGATGGGACTGGAAGATACCATGATCTGAAGTCACTGCACAGCGTACATAGTTTCTTATTGCAGCCTGTCGATTTTCTGTCCACTCATCTCATGGTTTTCAGTGAGGTTCTGCTAAGTGAAGGAGTTTAAGGCCTATGGGGGAGATGCATTGTTAACATCATACATTAATAGAAAAGAAATACATTTCTTGTTTATATTTCTTTTTCTTTGGAAATTTTGCCTGGTACAAATATTAGAGAAACAAGATGAGTATTTTGAAGACATTGCTGTAGGATAAACATAATTTGAAACCAGTCAAATTGAGTAAATTGGTGTTCTGCAAGAGTGGATTGCAGTCTTGTCTTGCACATCCAGGGAGAAAAAGAATGGCCTCTGACCCAAAGTCCTGTCCAAACATCTCCACACTGCCTCACCGACTCCCTGCTCATCGTGACCAAACTTGCCCTCAAGTCAGAGATCAGAGTTTTTGTCCGCATGCGCTTTTCCATGATTAAATTGGCCTGGTCATTGCCAAAGACTGTGCTCTGTGCCATCCTCGGCGCCTTCTTCTGTGCCCAAGCTTGCTTCATGAGCTGCTTGGCACAGATACCCAGAAGTGTCTCTTGAGATTGGAGGTGTTGATGGCTTGTCATGCTTAGAAATTCCCTGGCTTCTGATCAGGGTTAAAGTACGGAAAACGAAGGGCTTTGCCAGCTTGCGCACTCCAGGCCTCGACTGTTAAGTAACACCTAATGATGTTGCCTCGTGATATGTTTAGTGCCATTTGGGTATTGTAGTATCTTTGGATCAATTTCTTGTAGTAAAATCTTCTTATATTCTCTTAAGAAAGAGGGCGTGGGGAGGGAGGAGACCCTCATCCCTGGGACTGTAGAATAGGTGAGGGTTATGTGTGTGACAAAGCCTGGCACAGTCTCTCACTGGATTCTTGCTTGGAGCCTGAGTAGGAGGCAGACGGGAAGGAGACCTTGCTTCTGAATGCATCAGTTAAGAGGCTCCAGGAGCAGAGGGGAGCGGAGCTGCTAGGAGTGGGATTGGGGCCTCCTCCTCATTGCCTCCTCAACATTCCTAGCTTCTGTTATGAGGGGAAGCTCCAAACTGTCAGAAAGAAGGGGTTCCTTTGCCTGTTAGAGGGTTATTATTACATTTGTCCCAAGGCAGCAAGTAATTTTCCTGTGGAAATCAGTTCCGTGAATGTTGGCCTCCAAAGCTGTAGCCCTTCATTCAGTGAAGCACCCTTAGGAGATTGGTTCACACGAGAGCACCCTGTGTGCTGTGCCCCATCGTTGTTTCCTGGGATGTGTTAGTGTGCTTCTCAAGTTTATCCTATAAGTAGAATATAGAAAATAAGCAATCTGATATTTGTGGGCCATCAAATTACATAAAATACTGGTCTCAGCAGTAGAGCCTGTGTGGTTTGAGTTCATCTTTCTTTTGGACTACTTTCATGGAGAATAAAATCTCTGGAGAGTGTGCAGATGTCCACAGGAAAGGGTGTGTGTGTGTGTGTGTACATGTGTATATATGTATATACATGTGTGTATATATATATATAATTTCTTTTACGCTAGTGTGTGGTGATGGGTGAAGGCTTGTGCATGCCATGGCAGCAGGGGGAGTCAGGGTCCTGGTGGGTCAGTTCTCTTTCCACCATGTACCTTCCAGGACTCACACTCTGGGCACTGGACTCATGGCACATGCTCCTGACTTGCTGAGTCACAACTTCCTAATCTAAAAGGACGGAAAGTAAGGGTTCTAAACAAAGGGGTTGCTGACAGGCGTAAGGTGTGTGGCAGTCGTGGGTAAGCAAAAATAGAGTGTAAACTGGGAGTGGGTGTTCCTTCCCAGAAGTGTCAGAACAGATGTCACTGTGAAGCTCAAGGTCACTGCAACGACCTTGTTTCAGCCCTGTATTAGAAAGACATTTGTCAGAAGTCAAATGCCCTTTTTGTCCACATGCCACAGCAGAGGGAGCCTGGAGCTATTCCTGGAAGCCTCCTTTGCACCCCCCATAAACTGCTGCTCACCCCCTGTTCCTGGGAGCTAAACCTCCCCCAAAGCCTTCTAGGGGCTGTTGTTCCTCTATCCTTCTGGCCTGTCAGGGTTTTATATGCTCTTTGTACCAAGTGAATAAAATACTGACATCAGGCCTGGTGTGGTGGTGCACATGCCTTTAGTCCCAGGACGAGTGTAGTGCATTGTTTTTCTCTTCTGGCTCTTCAAGGGGCCCGCCACCTAGCCCCCAAATAGATCACACATTGAGGTGTATTCCTAGTTATGAATGCCCAGGCTTGGCTTGACTTGTTTCTAACCAGATTTTCTTATTCTAATTTAACCCATCTACCTTTTCCGTCTGGGCCTTTATCTTTCTTTCTTTCTTTTTTTTCTTTTTTCTTTTTTTCTTTTTATTTTTATTTTTTATTTTTTGTTTTTTCGAGACAGGGTTTCTCTGTGGCTTTGGAGGCTGTTCTGGAACTCACTTGGTAGTCCAGCCTGGCCTCGAACTCACAGAGATCCGCCTGCCTCTGCCTCCCGAGTGCTGGGATTAAAGGCGTGCGCTACCAACGCCCGGCATTTAATTCCTCATATCTTACTTTCCTTCTTATTCCTTGGCTGGCTGGGTGGCTGGCCCGATGTCCTCCTCCTTCTCTCATTCTTTTGCTGCTCCTTTTCCTCGTTTCTCCTATGTATACTCTGTGCCTACCAGCCCTGCCTATCCTTACTCCTGCCTCACTATTGGCCATTCAGCTCTTTTCACAGTTAAACAAATGCAGCATAAACAAAAGTCACATTCTAAAATAATATTCCCCAACACAGGGAAATGGAAGCAAGCTCTGTGGGTTTGAGGCCAGCCTGATCTACATAGCATTGTCCAAGCTAACTCAGGGTACATAGTGACACCTTGTCTTAAACAAATAAACAAAATATTGGCAATAAAGTCTTGGTTTCTGTGTCCACAGGTAGGAACACTATAAAATCTTTGGACAGTTTGGCCATCATAGAATTTAAATGAAGAAAACACCGAATGTGGAAAGGAGCCTTGAGGCAGAATGGTGCCCAAGCAAGATGGTGCTAAGGTAGTGCAGAGAGGACAGGAGCGTCACTGCTCCCCGACTGTTACCAGAGCCTGGGAAACAGAGAAAGATAGTGCTAAGGTAGTGCAGAGAGGACAGGAGCGTCACTGCTCCCCGACTGTTACCGGAGCCTGGGAAACAGAGAAAGATAGTGCTAAGGTAATGCAGAGAGGACAGGAGCGTCACTGCTCCCCGACTGTTACCGGAGCCTGGGAAACAGAGAAAGCATTGTCTGTTATCCTCGACAGTGGGCTGTTTACATGGAGGTGCTCCTGTGATGCACAGGAGCCTGCCCATGCAGAACAGAAACGCCTCTGGAGGCTGTGAGACAGGGGGCCTGCAGAAAGGTGTGATCTCCAAAGCCACTGGGAGCTGTGTGCTTCTCACTGAAAACCTCACATCTGGCTGTTCACGTGTCCTATTAGTGTACCAGGCTGTGAGAGAGCAAGGTAGGGCCTCACTCCTTAGCCTGAGTGCAAAAGGAATATCCTTCACCTCCTTGCCTTCACCTCACTGCAAAAGGCGTGAACTAGGTAGACTGAAATTTTTCATGTGTGCATCCTGTTCTCAACACAGTCAAGTAGATGATGACAAATGACTCGACAGTTAGGTGAGTGCAGGTGTAGAAATGGCGAGATCCCGGAGAGTCTAGGCATCTCACGACTGTTGGGTCTTGCACACAGGTGGTTTTGCAGCTGCAGTTACTACACCTCTGGATGTGGCTAAGACAAGGATCATGCTGGCAAAGGTAAGTATCAGATAATGCAGCAGGCAGAGTTGCAGGGACACAGTGATCAGAGTACCTGCTGGACCATTAGAAACCTGACATTGGAAGAGCAGCATTGTCATAAGTGCTAAAGATCTGTCTGTAGCTGGCACTCTGATGGGTCTGTGTGTGGCATGCCTCCATTTCAGAAGCATTCTCAGCTGCACTCTGCAAGCCGCCGATCTGAGGGCCTCTGCCTGCTACTGCTTTCAGATCTAAGACTCAAGAGAGCTTGACTAGTTTCATGTTCCTTGAAGCTAATCTGCCGACTCAGAATTTAGTCCTGGTGGCTGTGACCAGTTAAGACAATTGTCAGAATTGTTAAAAAGAAAAACAACCAACCGAACTCTGGGCTGAGCTTTAAGGAATTTTAGTAATGTATCTGAACCATGCATATCTGTCTGAGTCCAGTTCTGTAGGAAACAGCCATGTGAGCAGAATTCTAATCCATAGGTGGATGGGACCAGCCCTGAGAATAGAGTCATTTTAAAACTGAAAGTGGCATTTTTCATCCTTGCAAGACTTTATAGACGTGGGATCCTCACCCCCATCAGGCCAGGTCTATTGTTTCTCATTGGCTTCCTGACCACAGTTGCCAGTGGTTCCTAGGTGAGCTCAGGCTTCCCAGGGGTGTTTGTCTGCCTGTCTGAATGTAGGCAAGATTTCGAAGCCAAACCCAGAGTGTGCCTTGAATGGGGGTGAGGGGAGCCTGCTCAGACTACCAGGAGGTAACTGCTTTACCCCCTCCTTCTCTTCTGCAGGCGGGCTCCAGCACTGCTGCTGGGAATGTGCTCTCTGCCATGCATGGGGTGTGGCGCTCACAGGGACTATCAGGGTAAGGACAAAGCCAGGCCTCAGCTGCCTCGCCTCCTCTCCCCTGGCTCTTCCTCAAGTCTTTGTGTCTGCCATGGATGACATGCAAATGTGGGACCCTCACCAGTATTTTGGCTACATCATTGATAGAAATAAGTTCCCACTTAGACAATGTAGACTTGCAAAATGAGTTAGAAGAAAGTGTTTGTGGCTTGGGTGTTTGAAACCACTTTTAAGAGCAATTGGTAGCCATGCCTAATAATGGGCATGAGCTCTGCATCTATAGGTGTTATTTATTTTATTGATGAGTAATTTTGTCACTGTGCAAACATATCACATAATGTGCTCACACAAATGTAGATGGTGTCACATCTGGGGACCATGGCATCTAGCTGCAAATACAACATGTATAGCTCTGGAGATCGTGGACAGTTGTAACAGCGGCATTTGTGCATCTGGAGACATACAAGTAGAAAAAGAGCTATTTCAGCCACAGCCTCATCCTACAGGACTAGCCTGGTTGGTCTGTGCAGTCTGTTTTTCTCTGAAGCATTCGTTACTCAGCTCATGACTGTGCTATCTGTTCCACAGTGATTGGCCTCGATTGGACATTATTGTTCTGTTACTAGATCTTTTTTTTTTTTTTTGCATGTGATGTGCAGGCAGTTGTGTTTTCCCACATACATGCCTGTAGAGGCCAGAGGCTGGGGTCGGTGTCTTCCTCAATCATGCGTCATCTTGTGTTTTTGAGAGTCTCTTACTGAACCTGGAGCTCACCATTTTGGCCACAGTAGCTGTCCAGTGAGCCGGGATCTTCCTGTCCTGTCCCCGTGTGCTGGTTTGCAGGTTGTGTGCTGCTTCACCTGGCTCCTCCAGCTCGCATAGTGTGCACCTTACTATCTCTCCAGCCCTGTGTGCCTCAAAACGTTTTGCTTTATGTCCTGAATAGCTGTTGCTCCACGTTGATTCCCTGTACAGTTGTCCTGAAGCTGTGTAAATGCTGAGATGCTATCAGAGTAGAGGGATTTTCTATGCGGAACCTTCTCAACATGCTGTGCAGATGCTCAGCAGCCTCCTTTGCCGGGGAGGAGGGTGAGCTGGCTGTGGGATGGCTGGGTAGAAGCAGCCCTGTGTGCTTAGCTGAGTCTTGCCTGCTCTCAGCCTCTTCACCAGGCACTGCTGCCAGTCTTTGCCCCATGCCAAAGAAGATCGCTAATTGCCATTTCCGGGTAACTTTGGCATTTTCAGTTTCAGCTGCTTGATGGTCTGGGGAATGTGGTCAGGCTTTTGCCAGATAGCAAACCCCATTGTCTTAGTTTTCCAGTGGAAGTGGTAGCCAGCGGCTTTACTGAATGTCAGCTCCAATGGTCTGAGACACAGGTTGGATCTGGTGGATAGGACTGACTGACTCCTGATGTCTCAGCACAGGGAAGGCATGGTGGTAGCATTGCAGTGAGTCTGCTGTTCATGGCTGACTCCTAAGGAAATAAGAACACGCTAATCATTCATTGGTTAGTAATTCGACATTGAACAAAGAAATGGAGTGAGGAGGGAAATGGCCTGTGGACCCCAGTTCGGAAAGTCTCTTGGGTAAGCAGTGGCTGGCCCACAAAAGCAGCAGCTGGTGACAGTCGCTTTCAACATCATAAAGGCCACCTGCCAGATTTCAGTCTTATTTCCACATACCAGCTTCTGTGGTGACTTAGCTGGACCGCTCTGACCATGGTGTTGTAGAGCTGTAGCCCATTTGTCGGTGCTGAGAAAGTGGGGACAAAGAGATGGCTCGGTGGATGGGGCAGTTCCCCACCGTGGCCACTGGACACTAATTTGTAGATGATGCAAGACCAGCCTCCCCTGCCCATGTCTGGCACACACTTGACTAAGCAATGCCAGAATTGCAGGCAGAGGAGAGACAGCAAAACAGGTCAAGGGTGGATATTTGTTCTGACCCAGCCTTGGTGCTGAAAGGTAGTTTAGATTTTGGCTCATCTTCTGAGTCCCCACTCTTGGACTCTGATCACCTTGTACAGCATGCTCCAGGCAGCTACAGCTGTGACTCTACTGATAGAAGACAAATGATTGGGCCCAGAGACAAATGAGAACAACTGGCCCCTTCCTGGACGGGTGGCTCAGTTCCCCTCCTCTGTTTCAGTTCCAGATACAGCCACCATTGTCGGTGTCCCGTGCACTGCACTAAACGGGCCAAGTCTGCACACCTGGCAGCAGCCCCACCAAGGAGCCTGATGCTCTCAGAGCAGATGGGGGCAGGTCTTCCTGTTAGTTCCCATGGGCAAAAGCCATGCCGGATGGCAGAGCGGCAGAGCAGGGGAGGGGTCCACTTGTTCAGGACTGTCCCCTTTCTTGCTGACCACCTGGCTTCTTTTTCTTGACTAAGCCCTTTATGTACTCACTGTCACTGCTGGGAGCTCCTGCTTTCTGATCCTACCTGTGCTGTCACCTGTGGTCCCGGAAACACATCCTGCTCTGTTCCGTTTGCCTGCCAGCATAGGTAGAACCCCCACCCCCACCATAAAAAAGACACGCCACTTCATTTGTCGCCTAATGACACCGTAACTGCTCCCATCTGTCTCTCATCTCTGCCAAGCTTGTTAGTGGCAAAAGCTGAATGAGACCGGCTCTTTGAAGCCAGTGGCCTGTGAGAACTGGGTCTCTCCTTCTCCAGGGATCGAACTTGGGTCATCAGGCTTGATGGCAAGCACCTTTAACCACCTCATAAGCCCAAGTTCTAATTTTCTAGGTTTGTCTTTCTGCACATGAAAGCACGTTTATGGGTAACAAGATTTCAGGAGAAATAAGAGCAGGCCTCTGTCACCCTGGCCCTGGCTCCTCTGCAGAAAGCTGTTTTTTACAGCCTAGGATGTGTCCTGTGTCTGTTAGTCTGGTGATCATAGGATCTGTAACTGTTTATGGTTGAACCTGCTTCTGCCTTGTCTTCCCCAGCTGTAACCAGGTGAGGGACATTTTAGTAGAGTACTTTCTTCAGTAATGTCACGATGGCTATTTCAAGAATATTGCAGAGCAATGTTTCTCAACCTGTGAGTGGTGACCCCCACCCTTTCACAGGGATGTAGCCTAAGACTATCAGACAATAATATTTACGTTATGATTCCTAACGGTAGCAAAAGTACAGTTATGAAGTAGCAATGAAAATAATTTTAAGGTTGGGGGTCACCACACCATGAGGAACCGTATTAAAGATCACAGCATTAGGAAGGTTGAGAACCACTCCTCTACAGAGCTTGCTAACACTACCGTGGCTCTGACTGGACGGGGACGGGGCACCTGAGTGTCCAGGACTGACGTGGGAGATGCTGTCCCTCCACCAGTCATGTGACTTTGGTGTTCTTATATAGACTGAACACTAAAAAAACGAATCCACAAAGGTTTGTTTCCTTCTTGTAGAATTCCATTTGTGGAACTCCAACAACAAAATGCAGTCGAGTTACCAGAACAAGAAAGTGGCAGAATTGTTTAAGAACTTGCTTTGCCTCCCTGAACTGAGACCCAGAGGCCCCTCAGTGTATGACTGGGGTATACCCTTATGAGCCTTACCTCAGATTTGTCCCTTTGACTCCTTTTTTAGAGCACAGATGTCGGGACAGTGGTTACTATCTTAACCTGAGTGTTCCCAGGCAGACAGTGCAGCATTCAGCCATGCTAGCCCGGGCTCCTAGCCTACTTGGGAATGTTACTTCGTGGTCTCCTAAAAGGAAGGAAACACGTTGATGAGTGGGTTCATTGAAGTGAGTACCCTGTGGCTTCTGTCCCTAGGTTATTTGCAGGTGTCTTCCCACGAATGGTAGCAATCAGCATGGGAGGCTTCATCTTTCTGGGTGCCTATGACCAGACTCGCAGCTTGCTCTTAGAAGTGAGCAGGAAGAGCCCGTGCAGCAGATGAAGAAGATGACTGCTGTGCAGCCTGTCGTCCTGTGACTGGCCCAGCCACCCAAGCAGCGAAGTCAACAGAGTGGACACTGCAGTGTCGTGCCTTGAAGAGACCTGCAGAGTGCAGCCCTGAGTGTCCAAGGCACAGGCTGTCCCCACAGAAACTGTCCTTGGTGGACCTCCAGACCTACATCCCAGACCTCTCAATAAATGCTCTGGTAAGCTCAGGCTGGGCCCTTCAGCATTCTTGTTTGATTGGTGTCCTTTGCTTCCTGCCATCTATTGAGTCACTACAGAGCAAGCTAGCTCCAATTGGAAGCGAATACTAGACTGGGAAAAGGGGGGAGGCTTGGGGCAGGAACTGTGCATGTGGGTGTTTCTCCTCTGGGCTAATTCCTATTGTGTAAGATTATAGCTTTGTTTAAAAAGCATGGACTGCAGGTGCATAGCATGCATTCTTTCTGGTAAGGAGGCTGCTGTTTTTAATTACCCTCATAGTTCTCCTATAAAAACACATGATTATGTTATTTTACAGCAAAGTGCCTCAGAATCCCTAGTGTGTGAGACAGCAGACAGCTGCAGTTCCAGTGAATGGGAGGGCCCAAGTGACTTGTCAGAAGCATGGCTAAGGGAAGCAAAGTCCCATGACCACCACTGTCCTCCCTGGAGGGCCGGCCAGAGCTGCTCCTTTGTGTGCAGACAGCACTGGCCGCAGGAGGTGGGAGGGTCAGCGTATTTGTGCAGCGTAAGGCTTAACTAACTAGCTCCAGGTGGCAGAAAATTAGTGAGCTATCTGCGGAATGTAGCAGCACTGCATCTTCTGGGGCAACAGTGCACACAGTATGGTGCTTTGTCTCCTTTTGGGGAAACTGTACTTAGGACAATGACCACAGACACACTTAGTATCTATAAATGAACCTTTATTAAAGACACTTTAATGCCATTTGTTAGACACTTCAATATCTTACATGTTTTCAATGTACACTGTACCAAAATTTCTATAAATAAATAACTCTGTACATAAAAAGTAATACTTCCTCTTTCACATTGCCTCTCAGAAGCAGCAAATTCACATATTTTGTGGAAGTAACATTTATCAGCCAACTGTGGAGAATAAACTTCTGAATGTGCTTTGTCCTGGGGCAGTGATGACCTGTGACATGACAGTATACTGGGACTCAGGCCATCACTGTGTCAATACTCCCCCTTAGCTTTCAGGGATTTTAAGGACCTAGTTTGTTTCCATGTATTTTTTTTTTACTGAATTATGCATTGGCACACACAAGATGGTTAGCAACAGGGCCCCAAAGTGCAAACCTACCCAGGCCTGGGACTCTATCTTGTACAGTCCAAGCCCAGTTTCACTATGCAAGGGGACATGAGGACAGGCCTGCTCTAGAGAAATCAGCTGGCCCTAGATATGGACTTCTGCCCCACTGCACTGCTGTGTTGGCAGAACTAAACTGCACTATTGGAAAATCCACAGGTGTACCGACACTGGCAGCCTCTGCCTTAACAAGCTTCAAGGAACCATTAAAGAGACAGATGAGACATTTGCTTGTACCAAGTGAGTTACACAGACAGACAAAAGGCAGTGCTTAATTGTTCTGAGCTTTTGGTAGATTAACAACCCTGAACCTAGAAGAAAGGCAAGTGTCACGTGCGCCCGGCTCCACAATGAGGCCACCAGAACTACAGCTGCAGAGGTCTGGCCAATGCACTTGACTCTAAGTGAGCACATGGCCAAAATGCCCTTCTTTCCAACCACCAGCAACAGCTAATGTGGTTTTACCTGAATTTCAGCTGTGCAGTAAGGCACCAGAACTATTCCTGACCCTCTCCAAAATTAGATAGTGTGAAAATATCACTGAAAGCGGGACCCATGCGCTAAGGATTAAAATAGTCTCTGTAAAAGATATATAATATATATGAACTCTCTGAAAACTCTTATGTACAATGGTATCAAATACTTTTCCTGCCTTTTGTACACAAATAGTCTCTTGCATTTCTGTGCTCCAGACGCCAAGTCCTTTAGCCAACCGATACTCCACATAGAAGTTACAACTGTCCAGAGTGACATCTGGACACAAACTTCCCTCAGCTTCTCCTACCTCTTTCCTGTAGCAACCGCTTTAACAGAGATGAGGTAGATGAAGCCTAGCTTTTCGGTGCCAATAGCAATGGTCCCCTCCGTTTCCCAGTGAGCTGTCCTGTCAGTGGCATAGACTCAGGACTAGAGTCACAGTCCTGGGGGAGGTGGCCATTGGAAACAAGCAAGTGCTGGGCTTCAGTAGGTATGGCGTCTTCTGGGAGCTCTGGGCTGCCTGAAGTTAACGTAGGAGAAGGCTGTAGGTCTATGGAGTCCGGTTCATGTAACTTGGCTAAAGTCCAAGAGGAATCTGTTTAAGAAAAACGAGGGTGCGTTAGCCTGTGCACACTAACCCCATACGGGCCCCTAACCCGCCACAGATGCACCTCTAACACAATACTTACCTTTCCCATCTGGGGATGCTGCCTTGTTCTTCAAAGACAGCAGTATTCTGTCATGGTTACTTGGATAGAGGGATCCCCCAGAGTGGGTGTGAATCCCATCAGCAGTCCCAGTGTAAGGATGGTTTGGAGAATAGTCTTGGTTATGCTGCCTGAGCTCTTGGCTGCTTGGTGTCTCTGGCTGTCCACTCGACGCTTGTTCCTTAGGCTGACTGTCCATGTCAGTATTGCAGTCACCGCATACAGCAGAGCCACCGTGTGCTGAAGGAGGAACAGAGCAACGGTGAATGGGAACAGAGTCCCCGAAGTCTCCATCCCCGACTGGAAGATGAGTCCTGTTTACACTGCCTTTATAATCCCACTGCCCCTCCCTGGAATACACACGGAGAGGAGCTGGTCTTTTGTGCTTAGTGTCCACATGAAGTTCATTTAGGCTGCATAGAGATGAGTTTTCTGAACAATTGAACATTAGCCTTAAAGACTCCTGTAGCAGGCCTGGGGAGGTGGCTCAGCAGGTGAAGTGTGTGATGAGCATAAGGATCAGAGTTCAGGTTCCCAGTACTCTCGGAAATGCCAGGCTCGCCTATAATCTAGGGTTTGGGAAGCAGAGGCAGGAAATCCTGGAGCAAGCAGCCAGCTAGAACAACTATCAGTGAGCAACTATCTGGGCTTAAGTGAGAGGCCCTGCTCAATACATAAAGTGTAGAGTGACTGGGGGAAACATGTCAACCTCTGGCCAATGTTTGGACATGGTAGCCCATGCCTCTAATCCTAGCTTCTCAGAAAACTAAGGACAGCCTGGGCTACAAAGTGAAAGAAATCTTGTCTGGATGAGACAAGACAGGCCAAGTATGATGATGCTAACCACCATGGTTTATGGTCTTTGCTCTGTAAGTTCCTTACAAATTTCAGAAAACTCATCCTTTGGCTCAGCACATCATAGACTTACCTAAGAGACATAAGACTCTGAAATCAAAGGAAGCCAGATCTTCCAGTTTGTATTCTGAGTACAATTCAGAGACAGTATGAGACCAGAGATGTGCTGCCGCTCTGACTTACTAAGTCCTCCCGATTTCAGTGTCAAAAGCAATGGCTTTCCCTGATCAAAATGACCCTTACCTGTTGTATATGGAGCAGTGGTCCTGTCGGCTTTCTCCATCACTTTCCACGGCTCTCTGGTATATCCAACACACAGCTTGGGCTGCCGGCATGTAATGCTATGCATGTCGACCTCTGGGAAGAGGCTCGAGTCTCTCAGGCACACACCTGAAATGGAACCCCTTATAATTTGGAAGCTGCATAGGTCTCTCAGCCTAGTGGACAATCTACAGATTTCTTAGCACCCATCCCTTGGCATCCACCAGGAATTGGTCCCTATGCTCCTCAGAGATGCCCAAACCCAAGGATGACCAGGTCCCTTCTGTAAAATGATGGTGTTTGCATATAAACTGTACACCTTCTCTAACAGACCTTAAGTCATCTCTACTCACAGTACCAGTAACAATGGAATTTTCATCTGGGGTTGATTGAACCACCACATGTAAAACACCAACAGTACTGTAAAGCTGGTCAGAACCTGGAATGTTCTTTGCATCTATTCTTCCTGCAATCCTATCTTCACTGAAGACATCGTGCTAAGCCCAATGTAGGGACTTCTGGCAGACCAGCTGTTAAAACCATAGACCCTTGTACACACCAGATACAAGGCAAAACACCTGTCATTCAAAAACCTGGTTCGCCACATGTACCCAGCCTACCCCGAGGAGGAGGTAAAGCTGTGTCCAGCACACAGCCAGATTAGACTGTTTCACTGTTCTTGAACTTACCATTGCTTTCAATGTGCCCACTGGCTTGGTGCCCACCTTCAGTCCTGACCACAGTTTCCTGCCTGTCAGAAAGGGTTCCCTGAGAGGAGAGGTAGCTTGGAACATCTGGAGGCACGATGGTTTCATCTGCAAGGAGAACAATGATGAAGTAACAAGGTTTCCTGCCTCAACAATACATACAGATTATGTATTCAGTCACAAGGTCACCACACTGTTCTGAAAGCTCCACAGAGCTCAGCAGCTGCTGGTTAACCTCCTGTTGTAAAAATCATGGCAGTCAGACACCTCACTCCACGAAGATGGAGGACCTAACAAAACCACAAGATGATGAGAGCTTGGGAACAACCTGATTCGTGACTACAGGCAGGGCCCTGATGCCTCTGAATCTCCATGGAGACCAGGAACTGCAGGGCCCAGCAGGGGCTTGAACTTGAGTGCTCCCATTTCCTGTTATGTTGGACTGCAGCACTCACTGCTTCCGCTGCCCCCAAACAGCCTACCACACTGCTGACCTGTGTTGGTGACGCTGTACTCCTCAGTCTTCTTCCTGGTCTGGTAGATGATGCACACCCACACCAGCGAGGTAAGCACGATGCTGCAAACCACAGCAATGGTGAAGATGCCTATGGTGGTCCCATCCTTCCGGCAGCCGGGGGTGGGCAGAATGCTCAGTTGGCTATGTGCTCGCTCAGTGCCCAGGGGATTAGACATCTCACAGGTATACCGGCCGGCATCCTCTGCTACCACATTCTGAACAACCAGCAGCTGGTTGCCTGGAGTAAAATGGTGCCGCTCGGTGAGGCTCAGTGGGCGACCTCCCTTCAGCCAGGTGATGCGTGGTGTGGGACTCCCCATTGCTTTGCACTGGAGGGCCACTGTTTCTCCCACAGTTACCACACGGTCTTCCAAAGGCACTGCCAGGGACGGAGTTTCTGCAGGAAGGCAATGGAGATTGTGCATTAATCTATGGGTTTTGCCTGCTGGAAGTCTACTTATTTTCCAGACAGGAGACAATCCCATGTAGTGATGAAATGCTATCTGAGATCTTTTACTGGTGCTTCAAGCTTTTCAAAAGGCCAAATGTGACTAAAGCCTTCCCTCAACAGAGCAAAGACCTTGCCTCATACCAAACTGTCCTATTGTAGACCTGAGTATTACTACTGACCAAGATCACACCTACCCTCCCTCTCAACACAGAGAGAATTCTTTCTCAGACAGACATACTGCTGAGTACTTTCTTGCTCATTGTCTTTTATGAGCCAGAGCCTCTTGCTTAAAAGCAGCCCCAAATTTCAAACTAAGTAGAAAGAGTTTACCACACCTATTCTAAAAAGCAGATACCTGTAATACTTGAGTTTTACCCATCCCACCCTGCCACATGCACTACCAATATCGAACCTAGGACAGTCAGGGTAGCATTTGCTGAAACAGAGCCAGCTGAGTTCTGGGCGGTACAGCTATAGACACCCATGTCGTCTATTTTCACATCGGTGATGAAGAACACATCATCATCGGGCATGACATGCATGCGTCGCTCACGAGCTGCAGGGAAATCAGTGCCTCCATCCTTTTGCCATGCAATCTGGGGGTTAGGGTGGCCCGTGGCAGCACACTCGAGGCGGGCTGTGGTGCCAGTCCGGATAGCAATGTCGTAGGGAATTTTGGTGAATGATGGCAATACTGGGGGAAAAAAATACAAGTAAAGCTATATGGGATGGCTGCATGCAAAAGGAGACTCCTGGCAAACAGATCCCCACTATGCCCAGGTCTCAGCTCATTGTTGCTCCCCCTCCCAGACACAACACAACAGCCATTACACTTACAGCCTTCCTACTGCTGTGAGCTGCTGCTGGCCATTCAAAGGTAAGGCTTCTGATGGAACACTGACGCCTCCCAAACCTCTACAATAATTACTACACAGGGGTCCTCCAGAAGTAGAGGTCTGGGGCTGACCTGCTTTCATAGCTATCTGGAGAGAGCTGAGCAACAGAATGTCTGCTATTGGGGGAAAGCTGCATGCCTTCACCATGGAGAAACCAATGGGCCAACCTTGAGGAAACCCACTGTGGTTGGGGCCTATGAGGGCCACATTATCAATCACACCTAGGCAAAAATATGCAGTTCACTAGCTTATATAGCTTTAATATTAATGCTGACACAGTGGTCAGTATCCAGACCATGTTCAGGCCACTGCTGTGGACAGTAACAGCTGCCTCAGTCTCCAGGAAACACCCAGGCAGGCCTCTTTCAGGCAAGCCCAGACAATGTGCCCAGCTGTGGCAGAGACTGTTTTGTGGTGCTACACATAGCTTAGAGGCACTGGAGGGTGACCACCCACAAGCCAGTTCTTCGTCAGCCTGCTGGGATGGCTCACCTCTACATGCTGTCTTTGCCCCTCAACATCCCGTATCAAACAGTAGTCCAAAAGGAAGCCACCTGATGGGTGAAAGGCTGGCTTCTGAGTAAGAGGGTCTTGTCACAACCTTCCTACACACTGGGCCATCAAGCCAGAGACTTAACCTACCCTTCATCTCCATATCCTCCAGAGCACTGGTTCTCAACCCCCTTGGCAGACCTCTAGCTCCAAAACTTACATTATGATTCTTAACAGTGGCCAAAAAAAATCAGTTACAAAGAAGCAATGAAAATTTTATGGCTAGGTGCCAACACAACATGAGGAACTGAACTAGGGGGGCACGCTTGTTTAGAGGAATGGGGACTGGCACTTGTCCCAAGCTGCTTTGCTCCCAGATACACCATCTACTCTAACAGCAGAAGCTAACACAGGATCCAGAGATGCCCTGGAGTCTGGAAACCACATCTCTTGGTTTATACAAGACAGTGAACAAATAAAAATACAAGGCTTAACTCCACAATGTCACTTTACATAACTGGACTTTGAAAGTCACCCATCCCAAAGAAAAAAATGATTCAATCTGTAAAACTTGGTCTGGGACAAACCCAAGGAATGGTACCAAGGAATGGTACAAAGAAATGTACCCCATAGCAGCTCGTGTCTCCTTACACCAATGACAGACAATCAGGAGTGTAGTTTGGGGACTCTGTTGGAGAAGCACAAGATGTCACTTCCCTACCGTTCACAGTAAGCCTGGCCTTGTGCGAGTACGTGGAGCCAAAGTGGTTGGTGATGACACACTGGTAGCGGCCTTCGTGTCCAAATGTCACATGACGGAGGTGCAGGATAGTGGTGTACTCCATCACTTCGCCGTCCTGTGCTCGCACGTGTGCAAAGTTCTCCATGTCTGCATTGGCCAGGACCTCGTTGTCCTTCTTCCACGCAAAGGTCATCGGGGAGCTGCTGCTGCTGGCTGCTGAGCATGTAAAACGGATGTCCTTGCCCACCACCGCCATGGTCGTCTCAGGCTGGGTGATGATCTGGGGCTTTGGAAAGTCATCTGGGGAGAGAACCAACTGTAAGGTACCCTGCCCTCTGTGTACACCGGCTGCTGGTCACACTAAGAAGGAACTGGGTCATTTCTGGTCACAGTGCCAGCACAGTTAGTTCCACCAGACACGGTGAGAGCTGTGCTATGGCTCTCAGACCTTACTGCTAGCAATAAACCCATAACTACTCAACTCATCAAACCAGCCTAGTGTTTCTTTTTGACAACTTGGCCAGCTTTAGACAAAACCTCCAGGCAGCATCAGTCGTACTTGTAAACCTAATTCCAAAAGGACTGAGGTTCAATGCACTTTGAGTGTCAGGACTCAAACACACACTACTGTTCACACAGGTAAAATACCAGAAAACTGGCTAAAATAATTTCCAGATTTGTGGAAGACCATGTGTTTAATAACAATCCATATTTTTTTTATTCAAGAAAAAGGCCATACCTCAGTAATGACAGTGAGCAGTACAGTGTTTTCATATATCCAAGTCTCATTCTATATCCCCAGGTCTGTGACAAACTTGAAACCCAGAAGCTAGCAGCCAGTAAGGGCCAGCTCCCTGAACAACTCTACAGAGCACCTGTCACTGTCTGGAGCACTGGGAACTCTGTGAGCTTGTGGGAGTATGCAGGGCAGAGGAAACCCTATGCTGAGCAGCTGATGAACTGGTCAAGCGCCAATGTTTTACCCCACAGCTGTTTAGGTGATCACCCCAGCCCTAGAATTTGGGCAGCTGGAGGAGCAACTCTCAAAGGGAATCAGGTGAAGACACCAGTAACGGGCAATGAAGACTCCAATAGACCTGTGAGAATTTAAAAGGCCACGAGAATCTATTAAGCTATGCAAACACCGAGGGAAGGCTTGAAGGGTTTCTCATTTCTTTCCTGTGACTGGGCTGGGAGACCTGCACAAACAGAAACTGATGGCAGACAGCACCTACAGGGATCCCAGGGAGGCATATGAAACCCAGTAAGGATGTCTGTGTCTGCTGTTAGCTAATCACTAAAATAACCAAGCAGAAATCCAAGGGGCTGTGCAGAGTAGGCTTTACGGCACAGGCCCAGGAGACAGCCCTAAACAAAAAGCAGCAACCATCCCAGGAAGACAACATGCAGCGAATCTGATTCTGCACACTGAAGATAGTTTTCTTTTTGCTGCCCACTTTTCAGCAACCACATTGGAAATGTTAGATAAGAAAATAGCAGTCAGGAGAAACTGAGGAATCCTAGATCCTGAACTTTTCGTATCTTACTATAAAAATAGATGGATCATTGGAGATTATCTACTCCAGGAAACAAAAAGAAAACTGGACAGATGGCAGAGGTCTATGCCACAGCATCAAGAGGCACAGCAACCTGAAGATTAACTGGAGATCACCATGACAAAAAAAAGTTTTCAGAGAAATGAGCCCAAGCATAGTAAATCTGATGGAAAAGATACATCCCAGGCCCCATGGACTACAAACAGAGTTACTGGAGAGCTACCCAGATGCACTGTGGTCAACCTGTTAAATGCCAAAACGGCCCAGGTCAACTCATTACATTAGAAAGAGCCTCCAAAACACAAGCAGCTGACTGCTTATCAGAAACCAGGGAGGCTGGAGACAGTAAAAAGACATGCCTGAAGTCCTTACATAGAAATTACCAACTAAATCTCCTTATCCTGAAAAAACACATTCCAAAGCTCAGGGAGTAATTTAAATATTTCCAGATATATAAAAGAGGGCAACCTGCAGTAGAAAACTTCTTGCTTCCAGACCTACACTGCATATATTCTGGGTGAGTCTTTTAGACTAGATCCAAATACCAAAGAACAAACAAAACACATCCAAACACTGTAAAGGAATTTATACAGGTAAGTGTAAAAAGCAACACAGGCCAGTTAGCCTAGCACAACTGGTAAGCCACGCCTTAGTTCCCAGTGACAGATTCATTGCAAAAACACAAGGTGGAGTGATCCTGAGGATGACATCCAAGGTTGACCTCTGAACTCCACACCCATGCATACAATAGAAAAGTCTACAAACAAAACAAAAACAAACCTGAATATATTATATCAGCACAGTTGTGAGATACAAAATCATTACACAATTTATTTCCATACAAAGCATTCCAGTTTCTATTACATTCAACTGCATCCTATTTCCATATAAGAGTAACATAACATTTTTACACTGCAAACTATAAAACCAAGACAAAGAATAAAGAAAAATAAATGGTGGGAATACCATGTTTATGCATCAGAAAGACAATGCAGTTAGGATGGCCATGCTCCCAGGTTAATCTAGAGTCAGTAAAATGCCAAAATCCTAGTTTCCTTTATTAAAGAAATTTAGAAATTAATATCTTATAGAGAAATGGCAAGGGACCTATAATAGCCAAAATAATCCTGACAAAACAAAATAAGGAAAGAGTCGCTGAGGTTCTCTAACCCTTAGGAGAAAGCAGAGGAGTAAGGCATCAAGACCTTGTGTGTGTGAGGCATTAAAAGTGACACTGACAGCGCAAACAACAGACTGTAGAAAACCTAGGCTCTAGAGAACTGTAAGACTTTTGCACTGTGGTTGTCAACAAAATGAAAAAGAACAAAAACCTCACAGAGTAGGAGAATGTATTAGAAAACCATGATTACAGCCTGGAATATAAAAAAAAAAAAAGCATTTACAGCTAAAGAGCAAAAAGAGGTGACATGGACAAATTATTTGAATGGCCAGCTTTCCAAAGATGACACACATTTGTCCAGTAAGCCCATGACAGTTGCTCCTACTGCAACTAAGTCTGAGTGAAAACAAATGTCACTATGGAAATTAGCATCCCCATACACTGTTCAGTGAGTATGTGGAGTCTGTCATGAAGCCCCCTTGGGAAAACAGATTCCGCAATTCTGTTCTAGGTATATATAAACCCAAGAAAACATACATAAAAACCTGACTGTGTGCAGCATATTATTCAAAAGATCCAAAGAATGTGTGCAACCTAATGCCCAACATCTGATGGATGAACAGATAAATTGTATATCCATACTACAAGAGGCCATAGTGCCACTAAATGAATACATGCTAAGGAATTCTACACTGGGGTGTAGCTCAGTGCTAGAATAGAATACTTGTGTAGCATGCCTGATGTCCTGAATTTAAACCCCAGCACCATCAATACAGAACTGAGAACTCAGTTACAACTTGTCAGAAGGAGCAAGCTAAATTTTTGTATAGTCCTATTTATGCCAGCTGTCTAGAACAGACTGATCCGAGATACAACTGGACCGCTCAGTGCCTTCAAAGGATCTGGGGATAGACTCTGGACAACAGGGCAGCTTAAGAGCATGGGAGTGGGATTCTTTAAGAGGTGATTAAAATGTAAAATGAGTAATTATAATGGCATTAATTTTGATTAGTTTAAAGATACTTTAACAAGGCAAATTTTTACAGTAAGCTATATTTCCTCTTTAAAAGTTTTATTCGGTATATCCACCTATGTAAAGTAAACAATTCAGTGAGTCTTTTTTTAGTATCTTCAAATAGTTGTAATCGCCACCACAATCAATCTTAAACATTTTTATCACCTCAGAAAAGGCTGTCCTTTTTAGCTCTTCCCCTTATATCTCCATTGCTCCCAAGCCCAAAGGAACTAGTAATGTACTCTTCCTACCTCAACAGATTTCCCTTAATCTAGGCATTCTGTGTGACTGATGATTGGCTGATCATTGTCAAAATCCATTCATGCCGAGACAGACTAACTGAACTCATATCCCATGGGACAGCTACCTACCTACTGCCTAAGCACGGGTGTCTGAGTAGCTCCAGCTTGAGCTGTTATGAGGAACACTCTGAGCACTTGGTCAGAGCTCCCATCCCCTTCGATGTATCACCAGAGTGGGCCCAGCAGCTCATAGTGTACTGTTTACACAGTGAAGGTCCCTGTGCAGCACCTCTCCATCCTCATCTGTACTTGCACTCTCCTAACTTCATGCTAACCTTCTAGAATATATAAGGTGGCTGTTTCTGTCTCTTAAACACAGTGGGAGACATCTAGAAGAGTTTGAACCTCTGATTTCCTACCAAGGATTCTCATGGGTGGTTACGAGGGGATTGCTGCGATGCTGCAGCCCGTCCAAAGTCCCATGAGTACATGCAAACAGAAGACTGCCCTCTAGCAGGACAAAAGGAGGAAACCCAAACAAGTTAATGGCCGTGGACCCGATTAGCACTGGTCTCGTAGGTGGGGCCTACTTTTCTGTGACTAGGACACTCTGCACAATCCTGGATTCTACCAAGGGAGTCAAAGTACTGAGAAGTTAGCAAACCTGCTCTAGGAACCAATGTGCTGGGAGGTAGGGAATGAATAGAAAAGAGGACATTTGTCTCGCCTCCAGCAGGCATAATTAAAAAGAAAAGAGATTGGACAAGTGGCTGCTACATAGGGTCACAAGTAGCACTGTTCAGGAAGAGATCCTGAAGCTCAGCAAGGCCAGAGGGAACCAATGACAAGAGGGTCGTACACTCCACTCCTGCTCAAAGGCCTTCTCATTCTCGGAGTCCATCTTCTTGGCTATGTGGCTATGTTAATCCTGCCAGGGCTTGCTCTGGGTGTGGTGTGGTGTGGTGTGTGTGTGTGCGTGCGTCTGGGTGTGTGTGTGTGTGGTATTTCAGCTGTTCTGCATTTTCTGTGCTCTTTGTAACTAAACTTGGATCCTGACCACCACTGATCAGAAAAATGGTGACAGTTATGTTCCACAATCTGAAGGAAGAAAGACTCTCACCAGTGCACATTGCAGTGGTTTGGACAAACAGCAAGAGTTCAAGTCAACATTGAAGAATTATTTTTACTACAGTGGCTGTTCTCCTGAGACCCATTCTTCCTGTGTTTAACCTCTCATTCTGAGGGCTAGAAAGAAATACACATTGAAACCCCATCCTCATGCACTGTGTAAATTCACAGCCAAACCCAGGCAGCAGGACCCTTCTGATAGGACTAGAACTATCTTCCTGTAACTGATTATTTAGATTTGTAGCTGACCTACTCCCTTCTAATTAAATACATGTACTCCAAGAACCACGAGACACCGTACAGTAAATACATGTGGTTTTTGTGGGAAAGAAACTGCACTCAGCAGCTAATCTGTAACCATGAACCATATTAACTAGTATCAAAGGAACAAGTCTCATAATGAGAAGTTCCTTCTGACCTCTCTGCCCTTCTTCATCCAACAAACAAACAAACAAATCTCAAAGATAATCTTACCACACACAAAGCTGTCTGGCAGCACTGAGAAAATGCTCTGGCCCTTCAGTGACTCTGGGTGGGCACAGGTGGCTGTCACAAAGGTCTGTAGCATCCTGTCCATTAGCCATGGGGGCAGCCACTTGAGTTGGCAGTCACACAGGAAGCTCTCACTGCTGATGTGGCTGAAAGAGAAACAAGAGGCGGACACTTACCATGTGCCCATTAAGGGAAGGGACTCCCTTACACAAAGAGTGAAATATTGCAACCAATCAGCTTAGAAAGCAGAACATCAAGCTACAAAGGGAATGTTTTTCCTTGTAGTTCTGCAAGAGAACAGCTCATGCAACCTCCCTGCAGATTCAAATCCTAAGATGTCTAAGAAGCTCCCAAGAGATAGATACTACGAATGTTTGTCCGAAGACCACAGCTCACCTTGTGAGTTTACCCATGTCCTAGAAGGGTCAAAGTTCCTGTCGCCCTGGGGATGCCTTCTAACGTGCTGTGATGGTAGGTGCATCCCCTTTGGGAAGAGCACAGCGCCCACCAATGGCTCATCACATTTCTGATACGCTGTCCAAACTGAAGCAGACTTTAAATAATGCAACAAATCCTAAGAAATCTTTTCCTGCATGGCTGTTATCTTTTTATTTGGGAAAACTGTAAATGTTGCTAACTTCAAACTCAAGCCTCACCAGCACACCTTCCTCTTGCTGGAGTTCACCAGCACACCAGCATTGCTGGGAGGGCAGCAACATCAGGCTCCACCTCCAGCACAGTGCTTGTGAGTTAACTTCTGAGCCCAGCAGTCATGAGAACACTCAACTTTGGTTTCGTGAGGCTCCAACCAAAACAGAGGACATTTTCATTTTTCAGCAACTGGGGTTATACTTTCAAACAGAAATCAGAATGGCCATCTGAGCAAACATTCCTTCTCCAAGAGTCATTCAGATAAGTCACCCAGAGTCTAGCTGCCTGGATCCTGAAAGACCCGGAGTCTTGAGTGACACTAGCCTACAGCCAAAGACCAGAAGACAGTAAATGTGTGGGCTCCCTATCATGAAATGCCTGTGGTGTGTGGTGACAAAGGGGACAGTCCCAAGCACATCCTATTCTCAGACCACACATGAGCTAGCTTCCTGTGTTCTGTCTATCTTCTGATGTCTGATGAAGAGCGACAGTTAAGAACTGGTGAGTAGCAAGGAGGAATCAACAGCCATGGCTGACACAGAGTAAAGCCTCCTCCTTCCTGTTCCCAAGCCCCGCCTTCAGCCTCTCCAGATCACTTTAGGAAGTATTTTTCCAAAGACTCAACTATTTTATCTCAAAGCACTAAAATAGGGATGCTGGTCCCTCTTAGACAACAATACCAGAATGGGTTTAACATTTTCATTTGATGGGCAGTAGTATTCCACTGTCCTGCTAAGGGGCTGCTGTGATGGCAGAAGGCCATCAGCACTACCCATGATAAAGTGACTAATTCACCACCACACAGGAGACAAGTGTCACAGGAATGTGTGGTGGTGGGTTGGCTAGGTCAGGTCAGGTCGGTCAGGTGAAGGACCAGAAGGAACATCCCACTGTCAGAATCACTCCTTATCAAAAAGATACTTGTGTGTAGTAGAGTACATCAGACAGGAAAGGTCTTAGAGAACAAGGTCAGGGCATTGCTGGGAGACGGGACAGGGATATATTTAAGTTTATTTAAATTTTATACATAGGAACAAATTGGGAGTAATAAATCTCACTTCAACCTTTGTTCAGATGTATGTTAAAAGAGTCAGGCTTTGGAGCACATTCAGTACATCTACTGGGCTCAGTGTTAAGGTCTTCAGTGAAGCCACCCCAGGGAAGAGGTCAGGCTAGACCCAAAAAAACCATGGGCACCAGGAATGGGAAGGCCTTTGTAAGCGATGAGTTGGAGGACCAGAGAACACAGGTAATGATTGGAGCCAGACACCAGTGAAAACACTAGCTCCTGACCAACCGTGGCATCCATAGTTAGAGGTGAAGGCCAGACTGATTGAATGGTGGGACCATGAGCAGCCCCAAGCCCTATAGATTCCGGTCTTTTTGTCACTCAGGCAAAACTCCTCTGCCACCACTAATAGGTGGTGTTTTCCATGGCTCGTGCCTTCAACCAGCCCAGTTCTTCACTGGCTTACACTGTACATTTTCATGATTCCAACTCAAAGCATGTTTCTAATCATTGCTTATGAAATCTACCCAAAGACTGACTAAGAGCACAGAATAATCTGCTGTGATCTGATGGAGAAGAAAATAACCAAGTAGAGTGAACCTCTTTCTCTAATCAAAGGACTGGGCCCAGAGCCAGCCATGGTTTGAGAACATTAGTAGTTGAAGGGAAACCAGGTAAGAAACCAAGGCTGAGCCTCCAGAATCAGGTCAAAGCCACCTTGCTCACATTCCAACAAACTCCTTCAGGAAACCCCTCTCAAATACAAAATCTAACCTAAAAGATCGAAACTGGTATACTTTAAAAGGTTACAATCCATTTTATAGGAGAGATTTTATCTTACATATCAGAATAGCATTTCGTAGACTCTGGCCTGGAGGCCACTGTCTGTTTCTGCTGGTGTGCCTGTAGCAGCACACAGCTGCACCCATTTGTCTATGTATTATTGCTGCTGTCTACTGTAATAATGCATCTGAGTAGTCATGACCTAGCCCCTATGACCCACAAAGTCCAAAATGTTTACTATGTCAGCATTTCAGAAAAAAAACTTGCCACCCCTATCCAGAGTTAAGCCCCATGAGGCATGCTTCTTTTAAAGACAACTTACATCTAATCTGTAAATGATCAGAGCTATTGCACAAAGTGAACACAGCGCACTTTCAGGGCTTGCTTATTCTCAGTCTCCACTCATGTCAAACAGGGCATGGGTTCCCAGGTACTCACAGCTCTTTAAGATTCTTCATCTTTGCAAAGGCATCAAACTGGACAGACCTGATTGCATTCTCTCCAAGGTTCCTGAAATAGAACGCAAAACTTGGTGTATAGGAGCTGTGCGCCCCTGTCAAGTGTGTGGCGAGGAAGGACACTCAGGAATTTTCCAGGTCAGCCCTGGTTCACAGATGACCCCCGCAAGAGCTGCCCATGCCCCATGTGCCAGATCCATTGGGAGTGGTTCTGGGGTTTCATGTTCATGCAAACACACATGATGACTTGGGGACTAAGTCAACCGTAAGAGCATCGAAGCAGCAAGAGCTCAGGAACCCTTCAAGGAGTCTGATGCGAGGTGATGCAGCCCAGCAGGTGGGAGGAAGGTATTTGTTCAAATACCAATTGCCTTAATTAGGAGCACACCAGCAGACTACATACTCTGTGAGTGTTCCTGGCATGGGCAAAATAAAGGCCAAAGTTGAAGCTGACATATAATGAGAAGGAAGCAGATGGTGTTTCCAAACAGCCTGTTTCTCGGTTTACAAAGAAGTGATTAAATTGCTAGCAGACTTCCCCAGCAGCCATGCTTAGCAGGCCTGTGGGGCGGACAGGGTCTGGCAGGGTACTTACAGGTGTTCCAGGCCTTCCAGCCCTGAGAATGCTCTCTTAGCCACAGATTTGATCTTGTTTCCAAACAGAGTTCTGCAGTTTCCAAACATCCAGGCCCAGAGTAGGCAGGAGTAGGGGACCAAGGAGCATTAGGAAAAAGAAAACACACCATTAGGGTGGTGCTACCTGACAAGTGTCTGAGAGAGGCGGGTGCGATGCTGACCTGTGCAAGGATCACATGCAGTACACAGGCCATTCCCACTCTGAAATGAAATACCTCTAGCTTTACTACAATTTCATGCTGATGACAGGCTGGAATTGCATGTACCACTCAGTCTCAAGAGACCCCTTGTAGTGTCAAGTGAAAATCACCATGGCCAGGCCATGCTGTCTGTCCTAGGACCACCCAAGGGGGTAGGAAGTTTGTTAAGGAAAAACAGGCTGGTTATTGTTTTAGTGAGAGAGATGTAGAGTCAGAGGCAGTGTAAACTGCTACTAAAATCTACTTGCACTGCATTGTGGGCATAAAGGGTCCCAAGCAACCAGAAGACAACAGGAAGATGGTATTCCATCCAGACGGCCCCATAGCTCTTTGAATCTGTCATGTACTATAGTGGCCATGATGCAGCTGTCATTTGCTTCATCCTCGCCCTTAGGGCCTGGAGACTATGGTCTTGATCAAGAACCCAGCATTTATATACAGCAGACTTGTAAGTTCATTAAATCCCAGGGTGTCACAGTCAACTTTCCAGGTAAATAAAGTCTGTACCCTTGGGCTTTTGAGCACAAGACAGGTCTTCTGCAGCTCTAACCCTGGTCTTGACAGTGACTGTTCAGTTAATATACACAGGGTGTTCCTCTCACTGGGTATGGAGCTCAGAGCTGCCACCTAAGGGAGACCCTAGAGTGCACTGGACAATTAAATGCAAAGTTCCTTCCTTTGTTACTGAGGACTCTGATATCAGAGAGGCATGTCTCAGGACAACCAAAAAGTGAAGCTTGTCATCAGCTCTGCCCCTTCAATGTTAATAATGTCTTCCAGGATTTTCTAACAGGCATATTAAGCAGGCTGATGCTTGGGAAATGTTAAAACCTCCAAGGCCAGGCGGCAGCATTTAAGTGGACAGAGGAGCAAGTCCCTGGACAAAGCTGGTATGGCTCAACTCTTCTCAAGAGAGAGGTATTTCTTGTTGAAGATCTCAGCAAGAACCAAGGAGGGATACGATCTGGACTAGAAGCTGGCCATCCTCCACCTGTGCAAGACTGGGGCCATAAGGGAGGACAAGTAACAGCCTGCTGCCGGAAACTAATGAACGGTGATGTGATGCCTGGAAAACCCAAGTTGCACCATGGCCTAGCCATCACCCACCATGTGGCCCTGAGCATCAGGCTCAAAAGAGAAAGTATGGGGCAGAAACAGGGCTTGCTTACAGGACCACTGGCTTACATGCCAGAATAGACTCAAACAATGGAAGGAACACAGACAGAGGTGCCAAGATCCAACTGCTCCCAAGGGTGCACCAAACCACACCACACGGCTTCATTAGGGACAGATTCCTGCCCTGGGAGCTCCAGAGTCAGTTCAGCCTTTATACAAAGCTTACTGTTTGAGCCTTTTTAGGGTGAAGGGCAAACAGGCCAATGACCTCTGTACTTTTTCCTTCTCTCACAGGCAATCTGTGTGGATGCAAAAACAATCTCATCCACAAGTTGGAATCTGGACTTCTTACTTTAAATAAACCAAATGCCCAGAAACCCAGTGGCCGTGTTCACTCTGGCTCCTTAGCCACAAAATAGCAGCAATTAACAGCTCATGGGGCCTGAACCCCAAGTGTGTCTGTGAGACTGCCAATTCCTGCACTTACTCAGATCCCCACAAGCCAGGGCACCATGTGCTCCAGGTCCTAGTAAAAACAAACTGAGCTGTTTAGTGAAATCTCCCATAAACTAGATCTAGGAAAAAGCTGTGCCTTATTTCATCCATTAAATATTAGTCACGTTGACCTCTTTTACAGTGAGGGCAGCTGTTATTTCTAATGGTGACAACAGCAATAAAACAAATTTCTCAATTACACAGTGCCAATCACTCTGCTGATATAGGCTGAAATAGGCCCTGACCGCTCAGCACACACCTAGGGTTGTTGTGGGTTGGGGCTCTCAAGTAAGCAGATACTGATGACTCCCTGGGCTGGAAGGATGCTCCAGGGAAGGTATGGCTAGCCTGACCTTCCCAGTAAGGACTCAGATCAGACAATGGCCTCAAATGTCACTCTTTAAACCCTCTTATACATCTGGCCAGCCCAGCCAAAGGCTCCCAAAGGCCATTTCAGTGCTGGCTGGCTAAAGCAAACACAAGATACCATGGTGTGTGTGGGGAGCGTGTCATGGTAACCCTTGTACTCTTGTTCTTGGAAGAAGTCATGCATGGATAAGCCTTCCTACTAATGTGGACTGCCCATTCGGGCAGGAGGCCAAGGCCCCACTTGTGTACACTCCACATAGTTCCCTGCATGTGTACCCTACATAGAACACCCTCTTCCCTGCTGAGCAAAGCCAGGGGGAACTGGAGGTGGGGGTGCAACACTGTACTGCTTCTCCTATACAAGTCACTAGAGTTTCTTACTAAGCACTCCTATGAGGTCCAGAAGTGCCCCCTCCCTCACAAGCTGGCTGTGGGCAGGCCCCCAGCATCAGTACTCCAGAGCCACCCTGACACCTGGGCAAGGGAATGTGTATAGCAGTTCCAGATTCAGGTGTACAAAATGGAACCTGGACTTGCCAGGCCTTGGGCTCAGTCCCTTCACTGTCCCCCCAGGGCAAAGACTCCCCAGATCGAATTCTTACTAGTGCTTTTGGTAATGGCTGCTTCTACTTGAGATTATAACTAACAACAAAAATATTGACAAGTGCCTCAAAGCTATCAAGTTACTCAAAGAAGTTTCACACATTTTCTAGAAACTGAGGAAGGCAGCAACACCCTTCTGTGCAGAGGACAAAACATTTTAGGTGTTTTCAGATGGGCTGTGAACAGCACCAAGACCAGCAACCCTAAGGAGCCCCACATGCAACAGCACCAGGACTGACAGTGGCCTGTGAACAGCTCTAAGGCCTCACACTGGTGCTCAGCTGCTTCTCTGCACACAGCAGAAGGCTTCCTGCTGTCCTCTGTGGGCCCAGGACAGAGAGGCCCAGGGAAGCTGCAAGAGTGCATCCCCTGAATCCCAGAGCTTGCAGAATTGCACACTCAGAAATACTTACAGTTTGCTGAGGTTGTCGAGCCCCATGAATGCACCACTGGTATCTTCAATTGTCCCTGAGATCTCATTATGGTCCAGGTCCCTGAGAAGACAGAAGGCAAGTTCATCCTTCCTCTTGAGCTGTGGCTTTGCTCTTCACTGTGGAGGAACACCAGCCCCACACCCAGGCTTTCACCAGGAGGCCTAAAGCATCTAGGTGTACCCCCAGAGGGCCCAGCATTATGTACTGCCATGACAAGTGTGGCCAGACAAAGTCCTTTTGCATACTGTGAAGTGTGACCTTGCTTCTGCTTCCAGTAAAGCTAGCACACCCATCAAATATTCTGGCTAGCTCCAGGGAGGGAAACAGAGACAGAACCAGCAGAAGCCAGGTTTGTACCCCACTTCCACAAAGCAGACTTCTGGCTCGAACCATTCCTAACAGTTCCTGCCCACTCTTCTGATGACCACAGTCCTCTCTGGGCTCAGCCAGGACACTGGAAGGCATGTGGAAGAAAGGGATGGCAATGAACAGGGCTCTGCCCTCATGTTCCTTCAGGCTGGTCTGTAAGTCTGGGCCCGGCACCCTGCTCCTCGTGAGGCCTGTGAAGCACTGGACTCTGAGCCAGAGCAGACATCTGGATGCTGAGTCAGTCTTGTGACCCACTTGCCAGGACAGGAAAAATAAGGCCAACTCCTCGGTCCCAGGCTGTCTGGATAAGGTTAGTACTACAGCTTCCTCTCCCAGCTTCTAAGATGGGTCATAGTGCCCAGCGACAAACCACACCTGTCAGCTAGACCCCTACTCTTACATTTTGTTCTTTACAGATTTTCACAGGGCCATGGTCTCTGCATATCCCTTTCCAGAATCCTTGCAGATATGGCCAAGAACAGAAAGGGATGCAGCTCTTGGCTCGGAGAAGCTGGAAAGTCGCTGCCAGTTGGGAATGGAGCTGGGATGCAGTGCAGAACGCTTGCTGTGACCTTGACTTTCCAGCTTGAAGCTAAGGGAATGTGATGCTGTAAGGGACCTCCCCTTACAGTCCCGCCCTGTCATCTTTAGACTGAGTACAGCAGGGGCCCAGGCTGTGGCTTTGTGTGCCTGTCTCTCTGCTCCAGGCCTTGCCTGCCAAAGTCCCCCTCTCTTTCTGGCCAGTTCAGCCTGATGTTTCTGGCCTTTCTGTTCAGGCCTCTCAAGGGCTCACAGACTGACCTCGGCTTGAATAGCTTGGCACTAGCTTTCATACTCCCCAGCAATGGCTCACTCCTAAAGCCCACTCTGCCTGCCAGGTGTAAGTGCAGAGGCTTTCCTCCAGGCACATGACAGGCGTACTCGCCCAGAAGAGACCACCCTGGAGAAAGAGATTGCTGAAGCTGCTCCCACTGTCTGTTGTGAACCCCATGCCCTTCTGGGAGTTTTGGGCTCAGGGCTGCTAGGAATCTGTCTAATGTTTGTAACTGAAAAGTCCCAGAAAAGCACCCTTAGCATCTTCTAGAAGCCTCACCCAACTGGACACTTTAAAGGCCATGGCATTCTCATTTCCTCTTTGTTACACCACTCCCTAATGAGACACAAGCAAGGACACAGGACTTTATTTCTATCTCTCTGGGATACCAGATTCACTGAAGAGCTTCAAGTAGCAGGAAAAGTGGCCATGGAACTGACTTGGAGAAAGAAATACATACAAGTCAGGCCTGGGGATGTGGCTCAGTGGAGAGAACACACCAATCATTCAACGGCCCTGGGTTTGATCTATAGCAACATGAGAAAAAAGTCTCAAAATTTACAGCCAGGCTCACATGTGTAATCCTAGTGCTTTAGGGGAAAGATAGCCACAAGTTACAAGAGTTGAGACTAGCCTGGGCTACAGAGATCCTGTCTTAAGAACAAAAGCACCACCCTCCCTGTTCAAAAAAAAAAAAAAAAGAATATATAAGACGTCACAGCCAGGACTGGGGCTTTAGCTCAGTGGTAGAGCGCTTGCCTAGCAAGTGCAAGGCCCGGGTTTGGTCCTCAGCTCTGGAAAAAAAATATAAAAAGTCACAGCCAGAAGACTGGAGAAGAGATGCACAGGACTACCTGGATGTTGCTGCAGGTATGTAGGCACGCTTTTCCAGACCCACCCATCCTGACCTGCTAAGTGTACTGAAAATTACTGATAATATTAGTATTTAAAGAGTCCTCATCCCTCTATAGGCACAATCCTAGTAAAGAAAAGACTTATCTTCTCAATGATCATTTTTTTGGTCAATTATATAAAAGTTTGAGTCCATGTTCCCATAGCTGACCAGGTTTGAGTCCAATTCTGACTAGAAGCCAGCAAGAGGGAATCTCAACAGAGTAGGGCTTTGCTCTCTGCTCTCCTACCCGGGTACCCTTCATTCTGTCACCCTCAAAAGCAAAATCCTTACAAGACCCGCAGATTCTTGAGTCCCTTGAAGGCGCCTTCGGCGATGTGGCTGATGGCATTGTGGCTAAGGCGCAGGATACTGAGGTTGCTCAACTCAGCCAGGCTCTCCTCATCTAGCCGTGTGAGGTTGTTGAAAGACAGAATCCTACGGGAGAGAAGAGGAAGACAAATGTTACCACTGAGCTATATGGATGTCCTCTTCTCTCTTCTCTTCAACAGTCATACCACAACTGGCCTGATCTCACTGGAAAGGGGATACTTAAGCAAGTCTACTGGAATCCTGAGTAAAAGTGGCCACGCAGAAAGAAACCCATCAGTCAACATTCATCTAGTCTCATAACTAAATGATTATGCAGGCCATGAAACTAGTGCCACAAAACTGAGAACGACTGCTTACATACACTGAAGACACCTGTCATACAACCCAAATCTCAAGGCTCCAAGCCCTTCCATTGCTGGTCTTGGTTCAGGCAATGAAAGAAAGACCCCTCTTGGTAGAGACTGACACCGTGAACAGAAATCTGGAAAGGTACTTCACTAAGCAAGGAAGCCAAAGCTACACTCTCTGCATCTGCCAGCAGAGGGCATCATGAGCCACTGCCTGGGACAGTCAAACCAAGACCTCCTAACTTGGCAGAGAAAGACGTTGACACAGAAGGCCTGGGTTGTGACTGCTACACCCCTCAACAGGGATGATGTCCTTTGCCTCTATGCTGGAATCTCCAGCGCTACTGCAGGCGCTGCACAGCACTGGGTTTGTTATGTGACATAATAGTTATCTACAGTTAGAAAGTTAAGTCAGGACTGACTGGTACAAAAAGAAGCAAAATGAATTGATTGAAGTTTAATGCGGATTTAAAGGTGGCAGTGAACACTAGTCTGTCTCAGAGAAATAAGTCATGGTGTCTATTAATAGCAAAGATCTGTCAGGAGGCCAAAATTACATCCTCACCTGCAATTAAAGCATTTAGCTTAAAAGGCAAGGCAAGAACACACTGGAAAGCAATGCTACATCTGGCTAAGGTTTTCTAATACGGAGCAAATTACTAGGACTAGTCCAGTATACTTGAGTGAACCTTCCCTTTCCAAAGGGCACAAGAGACAGCGTTATATTGTCAGGCAGAAGAGGGAACTCAAGAGTCTGCTAGGAGTTTACCTTTCCATATGGCTCTAACTCCAAGGGCTCACACACTTTCTGGTGTGTTCCAGAGGACTGTCCTTACTTGGGGACTAGACTGAATACCTACACAAGGCCTCTCCCTTCCCAAAACTCCTAGTCTCCAACAGAAAATCACATGTCAAGGACTGGTCAAAGACACTCAGTACCATAGGCAGTGGTCAACAGCAGCTTCTCTAGGTAGCAAGAAGCTACCTAAAGAGTGAACACTAGCACAGAATCTAAGAACAATGATTACAAAGCAATGGCCTTTTACAAATGGCCTTTTACAAAAGATAAGGGCTAGCTAACCTGTGAACTCCAGTTAAGCGTGGAGTATGAGAGACATATACACTGAGGGTGATATTATCAAGAATAGAGATGACCAGAAGAAAACACAGGCTACAAGAGTCAGCATCAGGCTCGAGTGTCTCTATGTATGTTTGGTGAAGTCAAAAGACAGCAGAGAGGCTGAGTAAGGGGTGGCATTCCTACCATTACTTGCTTTGGTGGCTCAACCTTTTCCTGGGCTAAGCCTAGCGAAACAAGGTAAAAAGAAAGAAAAAAAAAACCTTTCTGAACCTCTCAAATATAAACCTACTGAACTACAAGGCATCTTTAAACTGAAAGAACTCGACCAGGGGCAAGGACAAAGGGGCACACGATGTCTGCTGAGTCGTTGGCTCTGGCACTATAGTGTGTCTTCTGTGAGGAGATGCCTAGGCCATCAGAGGAGTCTGTTGCTACCACTCTCAGGAGCAAGGGAACAATCTGGGGACCCTGTCTACGAACTTCCCAAAGGACCTAAAGGAAACCTCATCTCCACACATCCACCATTGGGCTTAGGGACACAAACAGCGCAGACTGAACCCAGTGTCCTGAGGAACTGTCTGAGAAAAGGATGCTGAGATTCCAAAGCTAAACAAATCCTTCCACCATCAGCATGTCACCATCTTTCGGTTTCACGGTCCCATTCAAATGTAACTTTTCACTCAAGAAATATACATGAACTCAAAAGCACTGTGATGACAACATCTAGGATTCTGTTCCCTGGCACATCCTCTCCTTCATTGCAGTCTCCAAGCCTAAGGCCTTGGGGGCAGTGGCTGCCCTGTGTGAGTCTTCCTTCCTGAACAGATCACCAAGCGCCCTGCCTCTGGGCTGCCTTCTCATCTGGACCCTGTGGGATGAGTCAGGTCAGTGGTTCCTTGAGATCTTGAGGTTTCCCCGGGCACCGTGAGTGGCCACTGCCCCAGACTTACAGTTCGTGCAGCTTCTGACAGAAGCTCCAACCATCGCGCTGAATTCGAGAGATGGAGTTGTTGCTGAGGTGCAGCTGGTGCAGGCCTGTGAGGCCATAGAGGGAGCCGCTGTTCACTTCCACCAGGCTGTTGTACTCCAGGTGCCTGCAGAGACGATATACACAGGATGAAGAGACCAGCATTCCCTCGTCACAGGCAGCAAACAGGAGACCAGTCTGTATCAGAAGTGATCGTTAGCACAGAGAAGGTAACAAACAGAGAGAAGTATGCACATTTTGTTCCACAGTCAGTATCAGAGAAGGAGTTTAAGCAACCAGAACTTGCTTTTGTCCATCTGATTTTCTTTCACTGCTTAAAGCAGTGGGAGGCAGAGGCAGGTGTTATCTCTGTGAGTTCTAGGTCAGCCAGGCAGTAAAGGTGGTGTTGCCCCTCCCCAAGTTTGTTTCCAAAAGGCCATCACATTTTACTATCTCCGTCTTTGGTTCTCTGGTTTTCAGGTTTGCCAAAGGCTTCTTCCAGATGAACACAACTGTACCACTGTCTTTACCTGTGCCTGTCAGTGGTTCAGCTGGCCATGCCTCATACTCCCTGCTTCCCATGCAAATTGCATCACAGCCTATACTTCTTCTTTTATCTTTGTAGCTGGAACCGAGGCTGGAAGCCTGGGCCCACAGGCACCAGTGTGTTGCCCATTCTCATCAGAAGCACCCCCACTGCCCATCCTTCCCGTACACAGCCACTCTCTATGGCATGCACAGGAGGGCCTGCTCCACTTCCCGGCTGCACACTTTCCACTTCTCATGTCAGTTTTCTGTGTCCATTGGGAATCTGAGATCTAAATGTCACTGGCTGAGATCAGGGTTCTCAGAAGAAAACTGATTACCTGCCAGTAGTTGGATTTCATGTTGAGTAAGTCTATGCAACTAAGGGGTGATATGTTTCTTAGAATTCTCATATCCTCTCTCTCTCTCTCTCTCTCTCTCTCTCTCTCTCTCTCTCTCTCTCTGTGTGTGTGTGTGTGTCTGTCTGTCTGTGTCTCTGTCTCTGTCTCTCTCTATCTCTCTCTCTCTCTTTCCCTCCCCCTCCCCTTTTTTGGCTTTTCGAGACAAGGTTTCTCTGTGTATCAGTCCTGGCTGTCCTGGAACTCACTTGGTAAAGACAGTGGTACAGTTGTGGTCATCTGGAAGAAGCCTTTGGCAAACCTGAAAACCAGAGAACCAAAGACGGAGATGGTAAAAAGTGATGGCCTTATGGAAAACAAACTTGGGGAGGGGCAACACCGCCTTACTGCCTGGCTGTGCAGATTCAAACAATTGTAGAGGTTTAAAATCATAAGATCAGTAATTGCTTCTCTGCTGTTCTTTGTCACTATTCTGGCAGCAGACAGCTCTGCTGCTGCACACATCTGGCTGGAAAGTCCCTTGATAAAAACTGCACATCTGCATTCGGTATCTTGATTAGCTCACAAGAAAGGAATAAATCTCCCAAGGTGAACTATACATTTTGGTCCACCTGCTGCACATCAAGAAAGATCATCAACCCAGCATGAGGAAGGAAGGGACTTCCTCTCAGATGTGGGAGTGGAGAGGATGTGGGGAGGGAATCACTCTGCAACCTCAGGTCCATGGAGGAAGTGGGGGCAGAGAGTAGGCCCGCAGACTGGTGCGGCCATCTTCCTCCCACTTCCTTAGCTGACCATGTGTCCACTAAAAACCCCTCTTACCTTGCGGGGAAAACAACCTGAGCAAAGTTTGGTTCGATGTGCAGAAAAAGTCCTGAAGCACAGGAGCCTGGGTCCAGCTAGCCACCACACTCGGCTGGATCAACACTCAGCCCATGCCCATGTCCTCCCAGAGCCCAGGACAGGTGCCCGCACTTACAGCACATGCATCTTAGACAGCCCCCAGAAGGCGCCATCTGTCAGCTTGCTGATGTTGTTTCGTTGAAGCTTCAGCACCTCCAAGCTATCGAGCCCCTGGAATGTGAGACCCTCAATCAGCCGAATCCGATTCCGATTCAGGTCCCTATGGAGATGAAGCCATCAGGTCAGAACACCCCTCCATGTACACATCGAGCCTGCACCATTCCCAGAAGTTCAACAGGTTTTTGAGTCACTGGGGAAACTCGGGGGGGGAGTCGTCTTAGGGGAAGCAAAGGTACACTCAGCTGGCATACCGACACCACTGCCGACAGCATGGATGAGCCAGTAAGAGAAGTACAGTGAGCACTGCACAGCTAGCTTCAGGTTGGCCCTCATACCAAGGGAGCATAAGCACCCACACTTCTTCCCTGAGAACAGTCAACATTCATGATTCTACAGCAGGCCCCGGGCATGACTCAGGAGATACATTCCCTTAGCTGAGGTGCTCAGCAACAGGAATCCCTACCAGATGCTTCAACCCAAGAAAACCCTAACCACTCGGTACCAAATAGCAGCAAACCTTCTGAAACTCAAGGCATCTGATAGACCTCCATACAGTGGAGAGAAGTGACTGCTTATGGAGAAGCGGAGGGTGGGAACACGCACACACTTGGCCCTTAGTCCTAACAGAACAACCTTAGTTGACCAAGAGAGAAGAGGAATCTAGGTCAGCTGGATCCCATTAGCAACTCCAGGGAAGGTGGGAGAACATAGCACCAATTAGGAAGCCCTTGGTTTTCCCCAAATATTTCTGCAGTGTCTCATGACCCTGCTTCACACACAGCATCTTCAGCTTCTTAGACTAAAAAGAGCAAAGCCAAGCTCCAGCATGTGGGGGTGGGGGTGGGGGGAAGGGTCAGGACAGAGAACACTCCACCTTGTGCCAGCCAGACCTGAAACTGCTTCATTCTGTTTAAACCAAATTTTGAATCTTAGCTTATTTTCCTGAAATATACTTTTCTGCTAAAAGGAAAACACAGAAAAATAGAGTTGAAAAACCTTTCACTGACTGGAGAGTTTCAGCTAATGTAAGTTTTCTAGCAACCTTTTGCTATTTATATTATCTGGAAAGACACACAAGTTCATTCTTCCAAACACAAACAAACCAGTTAACCTTCTAAAGTTCAGGAATGAAGAGGTGGATGCCTCTGATCAGGTGAGCTTTATACCAAACAAATCTGCAAGACCCAGATGACCTCAGTATCTTAAACCTCACTAACACCGCTGAAATAAGATTGGCACTGAGGTGTAGTGGCGGGTGTGCCTGTAGTCCCAGCACTTGGCAGGTTGAGGCTGAGGGCTCAGGAGTTCAGAGAGGGAAAGCCATCACAGCAGGAGTCAGGGACTGAATTTCAGAGGCACAGTGTCAGGGAGACAAGCATGCACACTTGAGTCTTTTCCTAGGCCATCTGAGGCAGCCTGCTGACACCAGACCCAGCTCCAAATTTGCTTTTATTAGGTGTTGCGGTAGGGTCATAAATGATAGTTTATGCAGAGCTTTACCAAGGGGGGTGAGGAAGGGGTGGCGATTGGTACAGGGTCCTTGGGGAAATTTGGCCCCCATAAAGTTTGGCTAACCTTAATTAAAGTGCAGGTTTCTGTACTCACAGTTGTGTCAGCCTGGGTAGCTTGAATGCTTTCACAGGAAGCTGGGTGATCCTGTTTTTGCTCAGACGAAGAGTCAGCAGCGACCGTGACAGACCATCAAATGCTCCAGACTCCAGGCTGCTGATGCGGTTGCTCGCCAAGTTGCTGGAATGATTCAGGAGAGAAAATGTAGCGACAGTAGGAGCCCTTCTTCATTCCTTACAGCAGCAGACCCAGCTGGGTCTGCTAGGAAACGTGCTAGGCACGCCCAGAGGACAGCTCTCTACTGAGTTGTTTATCGTCTCAAGGCTTCCAAGCGCATCCCAACTTGGAGACAGGGAACCTGGGAATGCTGGTAGCAGACTGTATGATGAGGAGAAGACAGAGTCAGGCCTTCGGCACACAACACACTATGCTTTTGCTGGTGGGAATAACCCTAACCCTCACCCACACCAGCTGCATAGCATGAGGTCTGCCTCAAAAGAACCTGTGGGATTCCTTCACCACCAACTAGTTCAGACTGGACAGAAACGCCCTAAAAGCAAAAAGTCAATTGGGAGGTAAGGTCAGTGGGTTTTTCACTCTGGAAAAACAGCCTTTATTTAATCCTGAAGTGGGTCTGACTTATGGTTTACATAATGAAAATATGCAAACCATTCATTTAAATAATTCTAACACATTCAGGAAGTACTTAAAGACCTCTGTGAGTCCTTCAGAAAACGAGAGATACATCTTCACTGGGCTACACACAATGCATGTCAGAGGAGCCTCCTCCAACCTCACAGCAGGAGACTGTTTCTCAAAATACACAGCAGTACACAACTCAGATGCAAGCAGCTCACAGAACACAATCTGTCAAGTAGTAAAAAGACAAGACAGAACCGAAGATGCAGTCTTCTCCAGAGAGCCCACTCCACACCTCTCTTCCTGCCTTCCCCAGATAAAAGCCTAAGTGAAAATGAGACAGGCGAGAGAATTTTCAACCACAATGGGCTGTGTGCCACAGAGGCGTGAAGCACTTCTGTTCCCGCCATCAGGCAGCAGCCCAGAGCAGGGCACACGAGGCCTCTGCAAATGGGGCTGGACTGTTTGTTCTTAGCACTCCAGATTAAAGAGCAATCGGTTGATGAAGACATAGCAGTTAACAGCTGCCAAGTAGAAAGTGCCCTCTGTATCTGTGCAGGGAAAGGGCAATGCAACCCAGGGTAGCAGTTGTTGGCTTCTTTGTGCCACTTAGGGAGCACCAGGTGGTAGCTGGACACCTTTTAAAAGCCCCTTCCCAGGGCTTTATGGAAGACAAGGCCTCTTGTTCCCAATTCTTGTGCCTTGATGAACCCCAAAAGCAATCACTCCTCTTCCTGGAGTCTCAGAATGACTTGGAAAAAATGTGCCAAGTGTCAGCCTTCCTGAGAAGATGGGTTACAGTGAACCCTACAGCAGCCTTGTGGATGAGCTGAAGAAGAACTCAGAATCAGCATGAGGCAGGATGAAATGCATTCACAACTAGGAACTGTTTCTTTGCGTTGGTCTTCAGATTCCTCCAGTAAGCAGAGAGTGCATTACACAGGTTTAACTTCTTCATTCCTGTCTATCACCCACTCAATGTGAGGCAGGTACTGAGACATGTTTTTAACAGACATCTAAAACAATACAGCTGGATAACTACCCTCTCCAAAGGAGTCAGTCATAGCATGGTTATTCAGATGGTCCCTAATGCCCTTTGAACCTATCTCCCTGTGATGTACATCCACTCACCACCCAAATACCCCCTCCAAGTTTCTCCAAGTTTGCTCCGAGCATGAGAGCAAAACTAGACTTGTAAGCAGAAAGACTGGGCCTGACTCCTGGCTCCACACTGAGGGGCAAGTTCCTTGGAAAGCCAATCAGCCTTCCTACCGGAGGGCTGTCCTCCACCTGTGACACCATAGAGCACAAGGTTTGTAAATGCTCTAAAGTGGGTGCCCAAGGGATCATGAGTGGACCCCACTCTTGGCCTGCCAAAGGTCTGTACAACCTCATGGACTTAGCCACGCCAGGACCTGAGTGAAGCAAGTACCCCTTCTGTGTCTAGGGCTGACCAGGGGCAGTCATTACAAGGCCTGGAAGCTGAGGTTTATGGTCCATGGATGGCAGAGATACTTACAGCTCCCTTACACGAAGGCCATTCGGGAAACACGAGCTCCGGATTTCCGTGATGTTGTTCAAACTCAGATCCAGCACTTCCAAGGACAGGTACGATTTCAGCTGGTGTCCATCCACACTGAGGATTCTGTTGTGCTGCCTGAAAAAGAGCACAGGATGAAGCAACAAACTCTTGCCTTCCCCACTGATTGTTTTAGTGATTTTACCTTTACCTAAAATTACAAGTCAGTAAAATTAAATATGTGATCTATTCCATTATCATCTGCTGGCTCAGTGTTATATATAAGCTTTTCTGAACAGAATAGGCGCTGTCCAAATATTGTGCCTCAGCTGTTCTACCCAAGAGAAGAACATAGGGTAGTGACATGCCCAGTGTCCAGTGACAGACGATATGAAAAGTGCACCAAGCTGTCCCAATCCAGGTCTATCTCTGATCTCTGGTACCTGGTCTAGCATTGTGACTAAAGACTGCAGGCACCAAAGCCCAGAGCTCAATTGTTTGGTATTTTTTAAATTTTATTTACTTTTACTTTATAAGCATTAGTGTTTTGCCTCCATGTATGTGTGAGGGTGTTGGAGTTTCCTGAAACTAGAGTTACAGCTGTAAGCTGCCATGGGGGTTCTGGAAATTGAACTCTGGTCCGTGGAAGAGCAGTCGGTGCTCTTAACTGCTAAGCCATCTCTCCAGCCACCCACCCCCAAAGAGCTCAGTTTAATCCATCTGAATAGATCATGATACAAGTTACAGTCTTCTGACATGTACTGTATGCCAGGCATGAAAACAAACTGGAATGCAGACAGTACAAAGATGATGATGACCAACCTAATTCTAAAATGAGGCAGGAACTCATTGCTGGGCCCAGCTGGAACCAAATCCCTGAATCTCTGCTGTTGGTGACTTGGGGCCTTGGTTGTCTCATTTGAAGGATGAGCCCACAGCCTGCTCCTTGAAGCCACACTAAAGCACCTGGAGGACACTGTGGTGCTTAACTTCCTGCTCTGACTTATTCACACCTTTAATCCTCTTTCTACAAAACCCAAAACCTAACCAACCAGCATTAACAACTCATGGGGAGAGAAGCAGCAGCCAGCAAGGGGGGTGAGGGCTGGGCACTGCCGTGGGCTGACTCTGCCTGGAGGGGTCACAGTGAAGTTCACTGGGTGGTAGGTAGTGCTGGGATTGCGGATCCAAGTCACACACTCTGCCAGCTATGAGTAAACAGGGACAGCTCTCCAACCAATCAAAAGCCTTCTGGAACAAAACCCAAAAGAGTCTGGTGTTGCTTACCAAGTGGCATCTCCTTTAAACAAACACTTGACCAAATCGGTTCCAACAGGCATAAACAAGGACCTCTTTCCCAGAAGCTCTGGGACTCTCAGGCTCCTTTGTTCTCTTCTCAAATCTCCCAAGCCCTGAAACTCAAAATGCATTTGCACAACTGTGCTGAGGGAGAGACAAACTTTACCTCTCTAGGCCCTCCCCAAGCTACTTCCTGAGTTCTTCATTAGTGTCTTTAATAAAGGCAGTCTCTTCAGTATTCTGATTCCAAAAGGAAAATGGAAGCTTTATTATGTAAAGTATGGGAAGAAAAAGAACAAGAAATAAAAGGCCACAGCACTGGGCCTCATCCGGGAACTCTGAATATAGTACCAGGGAACAGAGGACCTGGGCAGAGAAAGGACAGGCTCCACACAAAGAATCTGGCACTCTGAGGTCTGACACAAGCAAGCCCTGGGACACAGTCTAGCCTCTCTCCTCTCCCCCAGACCTCCTCTCTGTCTCCTCTGTCTTTGTCTTTTGTCTTACACTTTTTTCTTCTTTCTTGGCAGTATATTTATCCACTGAACCGCATTCTAGCCCCCATTCTGGATAAATGCCACTGTGAAGAAGACAAGACATTTTTACACAGTGGGAAAGTTCCCCACTGAGCAGAGAAGGCAGCCATGGAGATGGAGACATTGTGGGAGTGAGGCATGAACTCTGGGAAAGAGGAGTCAGGAGGAAGTTGCCAGGAAAGGCCTGAGAGGAGGACTGAGACAGGAAGGGCCAGGTGGGGAGATAAGGAGCTGGGTCAGACTCACAAGCAAGCCTGTTGGAAGAAGCAAATCAGGAAGTACTCAGTGGGCCAAGTGAGAGGGGTTGCCACCAGAAACCAGAAACGGGGACAAGAGAATCAGAAGAGGGACCTCAGGAGCCAGGCACACCAAGAGAAGCATCGGTTGGTCAATGAAGACAGCCAGGTGAGCCACCTGCAGTCAGTTCCCAGCCCAGTAACCTAATAAGACAACTGGGTCACTAGTGGAGCAGGAGAAGACACCTGCAAACCAAGCTGGGGAACCAGGGAGAAGGCTCAGAATGGTGCCAACTTGCACATTCTGTGGGTCCCATGCCTGCAGAATTAAGCAAATGCATTCTCACAAGATACTCATGAGAAAAATAATAATAATCAGACCTGTACTGTGCATGTGCAAACTTTCCTTTCATCATCCCCAAAACAACAAAGTAAGATGATGATTTACACAGAGTACTTGTACTGTCTTGGCTAAACGTAAATCAGAGGTAACTTCAAGTTCCATATACAGGTACATGCAAAGACTGCATTGTTTTACATATAGAACTGAAGCGTTCAGGGTTTAGGTATCTCTAAAGAACCACTACGATTTGACACAAAACATCCTGATTAAAATATCAGCAAAGGCAGCAGGACAGGTGACTCAGATCTCTTCCAGAGAACCTGAGTTCATTTCTCAGCACGCATGTCAGGTTGCTCACAACAGTCTGTAACAGCAGCTCAAGCGGGATCTAACATCATCTCTGGCCTCTACAGCCACCCTGGGACATGGAATACAGTCACAAAAACACACACACCTACACACAAAGAAAAGAGAACTAATGTTTCCAATCAGCAGAGGACTTAAATAGACATTCTCCAAAGACACACAAATGGCCAAAAGGTATCAGTATTTTTAAGGGACTAAGTCAAATTTAGGAGAGCTACTATCAGAGGAACACATGTACATGAGAATGTGGAGATATAGACTATGGCAAGTAGTGGGGAAGTGATGGTGCTTTAGGAAACAGTGTGACTATCTGAAAACTAGCACAGAACCACCACCTTTTATCAACCCCCAAACAGAAGGCAGCTCTCAAGCAGACACTTTCACATATCCACAGAAGTGCTACTCAGAATATTCAAAAGACGAGGCAACCCAAACGTCCAGTGATCGGTGAACAGATGAGAATGTGAAGTACACTACAGCGGCCTAAACTATGTGTATCACATCATACAGGATCGCATAACTGAATTATGGAGGTTGCAAAAGTTTGGAAGTAGATTTCTGAATGCACAACGACAAAACTTTAATCAAAACTGAAAGGGTAAGGAAGCCACAATGGCTCTGATGGCGCTTGCCCATGGTGTATCACACAGCCTCACTGCAGCCTAGTTCTGAACATACAATGCCTGTGCTGAGCATGTTCACATGCACAAAAACATAACCGCTCACATTCGAATCAACTGTCAATTACAAACGCCAGTGTTTTTCCTGTACTGTTAATAGATATACCTAAGAAATGCTTCAAAATAATGTATGGCTTAAAGTCAGTAAATGTTTCATTTGTGTACCTATTTTATTCACCCAGTACACGACATTAAATGCCTCCCACTATGCAAGTTTTCTGTTCTCACGGAAACATAATCATTTAATTCTAAAAAAAACAAAGACTTAAATTTTCCTGTCACTACTGAGCATGTATCAAATTAGTGTAAATGTTACTTTTTTAATTGTTTCAGTTGCTGACTTTAGTTTCATACATGCACAAATATTGTTCAGTGAATTTTGGGTTAAATTAGGATAGAATTTCTAACAATTTGTGCATGACTTCTAACATTTTATACAATATAACACAAAATGGCACTAACAATTACAAATTTTTAAAAAGATTTATTTGTGTGTGTATGCGCATGTGTATGTGTGGTGGAGGTATGCAAGCTGTGCATGTGTGCAGACCTGAAGGGAGTACCGGATCTCTCAGAGCTGGAGTTACAGGTGTTTGCAGGATGCTGAGCATTACACATGGGCACTAGGATCCGGGCACTAGGATCCAAGCACTAGCACTAGCCCTAGCCCTAAGCATAGCTCTGAGAACTACTAGTTTGAGGCCAGACTCAACTATACAGCAAGTTCTAGGTACCCTGGGCTACATGATGAGAACTGCAAAAAAGGGAGGGCAAGCAGCCACTGAAAATTAAATACAAAGATGGTTGCAAAGTCAGGGGCTTTAAAAAAAAAGGGAGGGCAAGCAGCCACTGAAAATTAAATACAAAGATGGTTGCAAAGTCAGGGGCTTTAAAAAAAAAACCAGACAATGAAGATTGGTTGGTAATGGCCATGGAGTTTTAGTATTGCAAGATAGGAGATGGCTCAAGAGGGGTTGTAACAACAGTAACAAAAACTACCAAATTTACTGCTGAATTTTTAATATATATTTTATCACAATTTTAAAACAAGACAAAATAATTCTTGGGTCATGAGACCCTGCTGAAAACAAGTAACTGTCCTCTTTACTTACGGCCTCCAGGCCACAGCCACCTGTCACAGGCCTGCCTAGCCTACTCCTCCACTTCATGTTTCGCCCCGTGTCTTTCCTCACACTGGGCAGGCCACAGGGCCCTTGCACTTCCTGCTCCTATCGCCTGGACGGTGCTTCTCCAGAGACCCACTTGTCTCATGCCTTACTCCCCGTCTTTATTCAAGGGTCACCTCCTGGTCAGGCCTTTCCTGGTTATTCTTCCTAAAATCACACACCTGCAGGCACCCACATCACCTGCCCTGTCCTTCCCTGTGCTCTAACTGCTATCTGGTACACTGGGTGCTTCTTATCTAGTTCACCATCTTTTCTACCATGGCATGGTGCCATGAAGAAAGACACGCCTCTACCCTCATCTGCCTCCAGGCCCTTGAAGGGTACGAGTTGCAGGACAGGTGTTCAGTACAGGTCACCAAGAGTGAATGCAGCTACATTTTCAAAAGGGCTAAGGGTGAGCACACAAATAGGATTCATCGGCACTCTTGCAGCAGAAACTGGCCAAGCAAAGAGCTTCAGGCAGAATCAACAGGAGCAGAAAGGAGTTTGAC